ATGAATCACTTATGAATGCTGCTTTGCATGTCACTTTACTATATGGTATATTAACAGCTTCTTAAAATGCTATGAATCACTTATGAATGTTGTCTTGCATGTCACTTTACTATATGGACAGTGAATTACTCATAAATATGCTATGAACAGTCAATCATCTTAAAGTCTCAAACTCTGTGTGGTGGTGGGACAGGTCCATAATACTTATCCATTCCATTCAAGATCCATCCATTCATGTAACATGCACTTTAGTGAGGATAACGTGACTTCCATCACTTTTATGGTGAAGGCAAAGCAAGGCAAATTTATAAAGACATTTCTTACAAATCATCAGCACCCTGAGTGAGGAAAGTCAAAGAGGCACCACTCGATTGTACTTTGACGTAATGCCAAAAAAGGAATCATTCCTTGTGATAACAGTGCTTGTCACATTTAACCTCAGTTACATAGGATAACTAATGCACAGTTATACTTGTGCCTTCTCCAAAACCGTAAGTGAGGAAGAACATCACTAAAAATAAAACCTCCAAAGTAATTGGGATAACAGTGTTAGCATTTACCCCAAGAAAGTTAAACTTAGTTTAAGTAACATTTGCCACAATAATGTATAGAGTGTTGAATGAACAGTACATTTTACATATGAATAATAGATAATAATAATAGCATATTGCAAAATACAAATGCTTGAGAAAAAAAAAAGTTGAACGTCTAGGCAAAAAGTGTCAAAACACTTTCTGTCTAAAGGGATAAAGTCAGGTCATTTTATGCTGACAGTCCAGAAACGAGGAGTTCCACTGAAAATAATAAATAAAAATCAGGACTTTTATTTTGAAAAACATCTTTCGGTAAAATGACATAGTAGTCCATATTAATATCATGTAAAACATGTACAGTTTATGAATGTTGATTTAAGCATTCATGAACATGTTATGAAGTGTTTATGTAAGGTGATATGAATGTGTCATGTAGACACCCTTCAAAGAAAGTGTTACCCACCATTTAAGGTGGAACGAGTAAATTTGAACAAAAAGCCAGTGAATAAAGCAAACTTCAGCCTCATAACTACTGTTAACTGACTTCAGCTTCATGTTGATAATATAGTTGAAATGCAAACTCGATTAGATAAACATAAATCTAAAGTCTAGGCACCTCTGTGTGGCGCAAGCTGTTAGTAGGGATCACATGAATGTGGCCTTGTATGAACCTGAAGAGCGAGATTCTGAACAATAACCTGAACCTGAAAATCACTGCCCTGTAGCTGCTATTCAGTGGTATGGTTCACCTTAAATGGTGCAGCAGTACAGTCCACTGGGGTCCATGCCCACAAAGCAGAACGGTGAAAGGGGACAGAGGAAAAAGAAAATGCAAACCACTCCTTTTAAAGAGTAACTCCACCCTAAGACCTTTTCTTTTTATTTACAGCTGAAATACACTGCTCTGTAAGAATAAAATATACCAGGCTTGCTTAAAATGTGAACACATCTTTCCAAACTGTAAAAAATATCATTTTTATCATGGTCAACTAACGTTACCGTCCCCTGATGACACAATACTCGTGCCGCACTCATGAAAGCAGAGGAGCCCAGAGCGAGGAGATCATAGATTTATATACCGAGATGCCGCGTTGTCTGTTGTTCTCTATCTGAGGCGATACGTCTGCACGTCCGCCATGTTGGAGAGGTCAAGATCCGCTTGTGAACAGATTCTCTTGTACTGAGAGACGAAGAGTCTCAGGATTAAATCAGCCTCAACTTCCTTACTACTCAACCGATTTTCACCAAATCTGTTTAGTTATAATCCTCAGACACAGATTAATCCAGGCTGCTCGGATCTGCTCTCGGTAGCTTTTATTACTTTTATAACTGATCGTGATAATTAGCCGTCCGGACCAGCAGGAAAGTATTCCGTCTGCACCTGACGATAAAAACCGAGTTTAGCGCGAGAAACATAATAAGAAGAGGATGGTAGTGTTCTTCTATATGTTCTTCTTTTTATATTGTATCACCCTTATTATTGTAACTGTCCGGTGTTGTGTGACTGATACTGGCTGCTAATTATCTATCTATCTATCTATCTATCTATCTATCTATCTATCTATCTATCTATCTATCTATCTATCTATCTATCTATCTAATTAAAGACTTTACAGTGGCCTGCATTAGCACTGATGTATAATCCTAACGTCTGTTAAAATATTCACCCTAGATACATAGAAAAATATAAATAAATTAAATGAATGCAAACAATGAATGAAATGAAAATAAGGCAGCCGATGCCCGTTTTAAATGAATGCAACCAACTAGAGATCACTTCTCATCACAAAAACTCATGATGACAAAATGAACAGCCAGAGTGTGGAAATTCAATCTTGGTTTCTCTTTCTGTTTACAGAGGTTACAAATCAAACAGTCACATCCACATCAGCAGTGGACACTGCAATGACCACGACCTCACTGACCACAACTGACTGTAATGCAACAACAGGTGGGTTAATGCAACTAAAGGGGCCTGAGTCCAAGTCAAGACCAAAACCCAAAAAATCAAGTCCTCTTCAAGACCAAGGCTTAATTAGTCTTCATTTTTAGTACTAAACTCAACATGTCTGTGACAGAATGCTTTAAATTGCTTGATTTAACAGGACGAATGGCTCATAATTTAGGCTTCTTGTTGAGGTATAATGAAATTAAAACATTATTCATCATTCATTTATGCATCTTCGTAACCCACTTAATCCAGCTAGGGTCCGGCTCAGTGTAGAGGAGTAACAGCTCTACTTTGAGCTCCTCCTGGTTGACTGAGCTCCTCACTCTGTCAAACAGAGTGTAACCCGTTACCCTGCGAAGAAAGCTAATTTCCGGCGTTTGTGTCCACAATTTCATTCCTTTGGTCGTTACCCAAGGCTCATGACCATAGGTGAGGGTAGGGATATAGATCAACCAATGAACAGAGAGCTTTGTCTTATGGCTCAGCTCCCCCTTCACCACTACCGTCCAGCACAGTGACCACATTACTGCTGCTGCCTGTCCCAGCCTGTGGCCGATCTCACAATCCCTCTTCCCACCACTCAGGAACAAGAGCTACTTAAACTCCTCCACCTGGGGCAGCTCCTCTCCCCTTACCTAGAGAGGCATGCCATCCGTTCCCGGGTGAACATTCACTATGATCAACGGACACAATATATTGTTTACCCTGCCGGGGAGATGGTTACTGGAACATACCCCTGGAGCCAGGCCTGGTGGCTGGGCAGCCCGTAACCCGGCTGGGCTAAGCCTAAAAAGGCAACGTAGCGGGACCACGTGGGTTCACCATCCGCAAAAAGTTCAGCATGGGGGACCAATGCAGTGCATTATAGGCAGTGGGAGATACCAATACCATTCGCCAAACGTGTAGTCTGATCTTCAGAGTCTGACCAAATCAGACTGAGCCATAAAACTGCCGCAATATCAAGTTTAGCTCAGTTTTGTTATTCTTTGCCAGATCAATATTAATGTTGTTTTGTTCCAGCCAGTCTGTAAAGCATCTTACAGCCCATTTAGTTTGGCGAATGGTGTTGGGTTAATTTCTGGCTGATTCCAGGTTGTTTAGCTGTTCTTCTGTCACAGCTGCCGACTGAAAAGCTGCTCAGTGGTGATGACAGTTTGGGAATTTAGTGTCGTCTCATCTTCAGAGTCTGACCAAATCGGCTGTCGGTCAAATGTGATCTTAAAAGTGTCCATTTTCTGTTTGTGGCAAAGTAAGAAGTAAAAACGTTCAAATGTCTTGAGCGTCTCCTACAGCTTTCAAAGTCGTTGCTTAGCACCGGTGTCTCAGTGGAGTGATACAGTGTTTGTGAAAAACCTGTGATGTTATGGTGAAATAACAGCACAATTAGAACGCTGCTCAACCAATCAGCTCGCGTGGCCAGAACTAACTGTTGTATAATTGCCAATAATATTGTGGCGTAGAATAAGACACCAAACTCTGAAGATTAAAATCATGTCGCGCCCAAAAGACATTTAGCCTTATAAAATCAGTCCCCTTTAGAATACCGTGGTGTCGGCATAGAAGGAGACACAGGTAAGGCAGTTATTCTGCTGAGAGTAGTTCTCTTCACTTTCACAGACGTGGTTTAGTTTGCAGGTGTTAGTTTGTAGCTGATGGAATCATCACTTATATGACAGTACTTTGGTTGTGCATTTTTAGAGCTGGTTTGAGCTGAATGGCTGTTAAATCTAAACTTTGTCCTCTCATCATGTACTACTTACACTATACCCAGACAGCAGCATATACTGGTCCACTGTCTTGTAACATCGTTACTCCGCTGACTGTTTGCCGCTGCTGGTCCACCATCAGACCACCCAGATTCCTGTCCTGCATACAAGCTTTAACTAGTAGATTTTAAATGCACATAGATTATTTTCTAAATTAAAAGGCTAAGAACAAACAACTGAGAGAAAAAATGAATGACTAGGCCTGATATAAAAAGATTTTATTGAAAATGCTGTTGTGTTCCTTAACCACTGGTGGACCGCCCAGAAAATGCTGAGCAAAATGCCAGTGGACCACCAGCTGTGCCATCAGCGGGCCGACAGTGGTCCACTATCCTCTTGCTATCAGGGTAGTCCATTTTTATGACTCCTTTGATCAGAACTGCATGTCTTATAATGAATGAATTCAGGCCTGGATTAAAAATGCTTCAGGAGGAGAAGATTAAAGCTGTAATGCTGTTGCGGATCATGACGAAACAGGTGAGGCAGATGAGAAAGCTGTATGTGTTCGGCATTTATTAGAAAATTAGAAAGGAAAAACAGAAGGTACAGGAGAAATAAAAGAAGACGAGACTAGAAAAATATGACAGACCTAAACTATGAGAAAAAGGGATTAACAAACAACATCAATACTATGCAAAGGCTAAAGTGGACAGGGAAAGGATCAGAGACAGAAAGTGGTTAAGGGACAGCAACAGGAAGACAAGGACAGCTACAAGGACCAGGATGGAAATGACACAGAGCAGGAGTGAGGCAGTGACAGGGATGAGAACAGGTACGGTGACAGGAACTGGAGCATGGACAGAGATGGGGACTGGCCCGTACTCATTGTGAGAAGTGGCATCATAAAAATGATCATAAAAGTTATTAAAAATATTTCCCCCTGGAGAATTATTAAATCCAATAATAACAAAATTAATCATTAGTCATAATGAAGAGAGTGAAAATGTTGTCTTTTCCAGCTGTGAACTACTGGATGAGGATCAGTGTTAATGTAACTGGAAACGTGTCTGAACATAACGAGTCACACATTACTGCATGGGTGAGTACAGAACTGGCACTCTTATTATTAGGGGTGGTGGAGGATGATTTCATTCTGTTTGAATTGTTTTTGAATCCTTGGTTTGTTTTCATTATTACTTATGCGCTGTTACTAATGTCCACAAAAATCTGAAATGTTTGATTCTTTATGCATACTTTTCACTATTACACGAGGATGTAGTTTACATGCCTGTAAACCCTGTATTGCTGCCACATTATACAATACAGGGAAATAAATATTCAGACACTTTGTTATTTAATATGCTTCCAGTATGTACTTCCACATTGTACTTACAAATATGAACAGAACATGTATTTATAAACATTAAAAAACAAAAACATACATTAAAAAAAAAAACAAAATTGACAGAGCAAAAATATTCAGATGCCAATAAAAATAACAAAATTCTTTAATGCGGATCTGGTTGTCGGTAATTGTAGTTTTTCAACGTCTACGGCAAGAAGTAATTAGCCTTTTGCATCATTGTAGTTACATTTTTGCCCATTCCTTGGCAAACCGCCTCCGATTCCCCAAGGTTCCCCCGACCAAGGCTCCTCTCTTATCCTCCTTAAAGCCAGCGCACACCAGAAATGATGTGCCACACAGCATCACATAGCAAAGCACTGTTATATTAGAGTGCGTCATAGTGAGAGCTCAGATAAACGTCAAGATCAAGTTCATTTTCGCATTCTACACATTTCAGTTTAATGAAATAAAACTGTCAGGATTGTTTTTTATGCTTGGCATAAGCTACCTACCTATACACAAGCTCACTTACATACAGGCTTATTGTTTAGTAGCTAAAGGGACTTCAATGCTAACTAATGGAGCTATTCTTAGGTTATAGAAGTGTGTAATAATACTTTGAGCTTGCCAACGGGCCCATGGGTTGTTAAGGGGTTAAAATAACATGAATTGTGAATTTTTTGGACACTGCGCAACATGACGCAGCGTGGCGACGTCTGCCTGAGTTGCCACATGGGAGCCACCAGAGCTGCTAGAGTCACCAGAGCTTCATCTCTGTTGGCTGATCTGCACCGTTTTGCTCCACCTGTTTTTCCCTGTTTTTGCATTCTAACATTTTATACTAATGCTCTTTGCTATCCGGTGTCGACCAGAGGAGAATGGGTTCCCCTTCTGAGTCTTGGTTCCTCTCAAGGTTCCTTCCTGTTGCTCTTAGGAAGTTTTTCCTTGCCTCTGTCGCCATTGGCGACGCTCATGGGGGCTCAGACCCGGATTTTTCTGTAAAGCTGCTTTGTGACAACACCTGTTGTAAAAAGCACTATATAAATAAACTTTGACTTGATTTGACTTGACTTGACTTGACTTGACTTGACTTGACGTAGTGCGTCCAGCGTACACTGGCCTTAATCATTAATCCGGAGAAATCTTGCATGCTGCACCTCTCTGGGGAAAATTACTTGTACTTCCATAAACTTTACAGTTGCATAATGTCAACCAGTTGTAGTAACAGGGATGTGCTGACAGGGATGTTTAAGGTCTTTGCTAGAACTAGGTAGCTTTTTACCATTTCAGTGTTGTTTAACCCCTTAAATTGTCAGGACCCACCGGCAGGGCCAAAGTTTAATTGCACACTGCTATAACCTAAGAAAAGCTCACCCAGTTTACATTGAAGTCCCTGTAGTTACTGAATAATAAGTCTTAGTATGACATAAACATGGGATTTTAAGGGGTTAATAATGTTGTGCCTGAGAACTTTAGGAACCAACCAATGGCACAGTCTTTTATAAGACATGAGGTGCAGTGTGCACAAGAACGTTTTTATCTGTGCAGCATTAATATGTAGAACTTGATTTTATTTTATTTTTAATATATGTGCATATTTTAATATAGTGTCAGATTTTTTTCTCTTGTCTTATGGAATTGCACTTGTGGAAACATACATTTTTGTTGATATTTTAGGTACAAAATCAAAAGGCAGTATGTGTTTAAATCTGAAGTAGATATTTGCATTGGTAGTACATTAAATAACAAAAACACTAGTGTCTAAATACTTGTTTTGTTTGATGGTACATCTCGTGTTTTGCAGCTCCAGAGTCTGTTTCAGCAGCATCTAGGTGAATGCAGGTGCATTGCTAATGCTACTTCTGCCACCTCGTCACAAATGCCATTCATTTCTACCACTCCACCCTCTGAAACCAGCAATGGCACACACAGCAACAGCTTCTCAACAACACCTGACAACTTTAGTTCTCCCTCTACACAAAGTGTCACGTCATTGACTGCAATTCAGGGAAACAGGTATCAGTAATTATTGCTCACTTAGAAAAGGGTTGCTGTTCCATTCTAGTTGAGAACGATCAAACTTTTAATGACGTAATGGTGCAATAAAGCCAGCGCTTTGAAAACATTAATCAGCTTTGAAACTGGTCATGAAATTGGCCTGCAGTTAAGTTTGGCCACACTTTATTTGGATGGTCCCCTATAGATACTTAAATCATTAACAAACTTTCTGGTAATGTTCAGTTGATTATCAACACCATTATGGTTAGGATTAGGATTAGGGGTAGGTGTTACCTTAAGTTTAATACAAAACTTTGTCATTTCATGGCAGACTAATAAAAAAATACCAGCTCAACAGTCATAACTGATCTGGTCAGTCATAATAGGTACTGTGCTAACTTTGTTCTTTGAACAGACATTTTCTCCCTCTCTTGTAGTTCTACAGTTACAGACTGTAGTCCATCTGTTTCTCTGATACTTTGTTAGCCCCCTTTTACCCTGTTCTTCAGTGGTCAGGACCCCATGGACCCTCACAGAGCAGGTACTATTTGGGTGGTGGATCATTCTCAGCACTGCAGTAACACTGACGTGGTGGTGGTGTGTTAGTGTGTGTTGTGCTGGTGCGAGTGGATCAGACACAGCAGTGCTGCTGGAGTTTTTCAACACCTCAGTGTCACTGCTGGACAGAGAATAGTCCACCAACCAAAAACATCCAGCCAACAGCGTCCTGTGGGCAGCGTCCTGTGACCACTGATGAAGGACTAGAGGATGACCAACACAAACTGTACAGCAGCAGATGAGCTATCGTCTCTGACTTTACATCTACAAGGTGGACTGACAAGGTAGGAGTGTCGAACAGAGTGGACAGTGAGTGGACACAGTGTTTGAAAACTCCAGCAGCACTGCTGTGTCTGATCCACTCGTACCAGCGCAACACACACTAACACACCACCACCACGTCAGTGTTACTGCAGTGCTGAGAATGATCCACCACCCAAATAGTACCTGCTCTGTGAGGGTCCATGGGGGTCCTGACCACTGAAGAACAGGGTAAAAGGGGGCTAACAAAGTACCAGAGAAACAGATGGACTACAGTCTGTAACTGTAGAACTACAAAGTGCACCTATATAGTAAGTGGAGCTGATAAAATGGACAATGAGCGGAGAAACAAGGAGGTGGTCATAATGTTACGCCTGATCGGTCTGTGTTATACATATAGGGCCCCTCAAGATTCCCCAGTTGTTTGAAATGTGCAGCCTCTTTACATGTCTACTATAAACCCTGCAACACAGTTAGGGACCCTTTTTCACTTTTTCAGGTAAAGTGGTACAGTTTGTCTGCAAAATGGGGCACTGTTTTATAGTTATTCTGTGGTTATAGTTTGTATTAATATATTTATGTAGCCTCCTCACAGAACCACAGCATCCTATATGTAGCAACAAATAATTTAGTCACATTTGGCTGAAAGAATAACAATCATGAGCCAATTTGTATTATAATTTTTCAAACAAGTGCCTCTGAAAGGTGACCTTCGGATGCTCTGACAATGATCTGCAGCTGAGGTTTCCTCTTGGACTCAATCTGATCTCTCTTCTCCACGTTTCATTCTGTACTCTCTCAGTAAATTGCACCTTTCTGTTCCTTTATGATGTCTTTTCTCCTCCGTCCCCTGACTGTTCTGGTTTAGGTGTCATTTGACAGAATGAGAATTGTATTGAATTAGCGCTGCATACAATGTGATTCCATACCGTAGTGCATTAAGTAGAGCCTGTTGGCCTAAAACGTGATTTACACTGTTCAGTTTCTCTACATTTCACCACACAGAGGGATCAGTGTTGGCACATATAGCAGCTATATATCTTTGCTTAAACACATTGACAGCTGTTACATGCCAAGGTGGTAGACGTAATAGTAATGAGTCAGGTGTTATAAATGGTTATTAGATATAAAGGCAAAACTGTACAGCTGGAGAATGGAGACAGAAAACCTGGATGTGATACTGATACAGGCCAAGATACACATACATATGCAATATAGAGAGGTGTATCTCAAAACTAGGGCTTAACAGTTTTTTGAGCCATGTTTCAATTACCATTTAAATATGCTTGTTTTCTGTAAATTAGACATAAGGACTGTTTTACACCAAGAAGACCAGCACATCCATTTTTCAGCTGAATGCTGAAAATAATGTACCAGATTGACCGTTTGCGAGCTCTGCGTTACAAGTTTAAATTTTCCCACTTGAGGGTTGTTAATGTTGGAAAATTGCAGCTCCTGCAATTTGAAAATTACACTCACACTAGACAATCATTCAGCCCTTTTCAAAGCCAGGAATGCAGCTGAGGTAGGCAGTGTTTCTTGGCCATTATGTCGAGGAAGCCTGGCCCATTTTGTAGGCCTTCGTTTCTAAGCACTTAACAGATGTTTCCTTCCAGACCTTCAATCATCCACTATCCATCACATGCAGCACAAAACTGTTCGAAAAATGTCAGAAACAACTGCAAATCACATGATACAGTGACAGCAGAGTTTGTAATGAAATGTGAAATGTTTTTAAATGTAAGACGTACTTGTGTCTCATTGCTTATGTCAGTAAGCATGATGTGTTGGTACAGGCTGCCCAGCCCATCTAGGTCAATGAGCACTGAAGAGAAGCCTCCAAACACCAGCAAGTACTCTCCCATCTCGACTGCAGTCTAATCTTTGAGAAAAGGCTATTATTTATAATGTAAACCATGATAAGTTACCATTTCAGTATAATACAAACTCAGCCTGTTAACTAACTAGCTAAGATGGGATTGCTGGTTGGATAACATGAGCTATATGACTCATCTTATCCATCCATCCATCATCTAAACCGCTTATCCTTCTGGGTCGCTGGAGGCAGGATACACCCTGGACAGGTCGCCAGTCCATCGCAGGGCAGACATACACAATCACACACACACCTAGGGGCAATTTTAGCACGTCCAATCAGCCTGACTGCATGTTTTTGGACTGTGGGAGGAAACCGGAGTACCCGGAGGAAACCCACGCAGACACGGGGAGAACAGGCAAACTCCACACAGAAATGACCCTGGTCACCCGGCCGGGAATCAAACTCAGGCCATTCTTGCTGTGAGGCGACAGCACTACCCACTGTGCCACCGTGCTGCCCTTTGACTCATCTTATGGAACACAGAATTGATCTTGGCTCTTTATGAGGCCCTCTAAATTGAATAAATAAATAAAATAATAAATCCGTCCTGCAACAAATGAGTCTGTCAGGTAACATTGACTTTATAGCCATTTAGCAGCACGAAAGTCCTTTTCTTTACACAGAGCTTGATATCATTTCCAGGGTGTATCCTGCCTTCCGGCCAATGACTGCTGGGATAGGCTCCAGCTCTCCCTGTGACCCAGAAGGATAAGCAGTTTAGAAAATGTGTGTGTGTGTGTGTAAATCCAAAGGTATTCTGTCATCACAACTGGACAGTGCGTCATGTGCAACTCCCAAACTGCCCACCAGAGGTCATCATCTCCTGAAGTCTACCTGTCACTCTCACACACCTGTTCTCAATCTCCATTCATCAGCTCCCCTATAAATACTCTCACACTCTTTTGCCACTCCTTGTGAAGCATTGTTAGTGTATCACTGCAATCCTGGGCCCTTTCTCTCTGACTTTGGGCTCTTTGCCAGCCTTTTCTGACTTGGATTTTGTTTGGATTTTTCTGCCTTGGCTCTGTTGTATGTGTTTTTTGGCCTCTGGCCCTCTGCTCTGCCCTGACTCTGCTTTTTGGACTGTGTTTTATACTGTTGTTCCTGACTAAATAAAGCCTGCTGATGGATCCCACAAACCGGCCTACCCCTGCATTGTTAGAGTGTACGATTAAGTGCACATTTGCTTGACTCACTCAAAAAAATCAAAGATATTTATTATGACAAAAACTGATCTTATTGAGTCACAAGCCCACAAACCAATTCAAGTCTCAAATCAGTGAAGATGAACTCCAATTTGAGACAGAAAAGTCTCTGATTTAGTCAAGTGAAGTCCCAAGACAAGAAAATTGCGCCTTGAGCAGACCTCAGAAAACAATGAATCAACAGTTTGACAGTGCCTCTTCTTTATATGTTAACTGGGGTCATCATCTCCTCCAGTGTGACAGTGCCTCTTCTTTATATGGTAACTGGTATAATATATAAAGAGCATAAAACTAATATGATCTTTGTAAATAAAGGATTCAGAGCATGAAGACGACAGTAGACACCTTAAATCTCAAATAATGTGTCTTTCTTCTTGTTTGCCTTTTAGCTCAATAAAAGAAAATGAAACCACTACCAGCCTCTTTCAAGTAAGCACCAATTTCTGTTTTATAGAGACGCTCCTCAGTGTGCTGTATTTACCCTCCTTTTGTGACTGTGTGTATTTTGGGATGAACGTAATCCGCTCTTTGTGTTTTTATTTTCAGAGCATTGAGGTTGTATGTGACAATAAGACGGCCATACGGTCAGTTCCAGTTGGTATTTTCCACTGTTATCTCCTCACATGGTGCTGAACAGAATGTCTGAAGCTGGTGTTTTCTGACCAATGGTCCTCTGGTTCTGCTCGTCCCACAGGCTCACTGAGTGCACCGTGCTGTTGCAGTTGAGTCGGCCAACCAGTCCGTGCTGTATTGCACGCATCGTAAACATCGTACAGATTAACTCCACCATCCAGGGACAGGTGATTGGAAACCAAGTAAAGAGAGTGGGTGAGTGTCACCACACTGGTGGGTCCACTACATGGCCATGAAATAAAAACATGACATCCGTTACGAAAATTGCATATTTTGAATGCAGTGAATTTCTCCATTAACTTATTGTCTTTGCACCCAAAAGGAAAAGAGCTTTGCCACAGTGATGCTACAGAGCCTCCAGCTGGAAGCTTTGAGAGGTGTAATGGTTCTCTCAACACTGAGGTTCCCTCTTATTCAAATGGTATGTACCGCACACACATGATGGCAAAAACCTGGTGTTACATAACATTTTTTCTTTATCTGTCAATTACTTTAGTTAAATATACAGAGTTATCTAGATATGCTACCATCCAGACAACGTCTTTTTCAGGCCTTCTTTTTTCCGCAAGACAATGCCAAACCATATTCTGCATGTATTACAGCAGCACAGCTCCATATTAAAAGAGTCCGGGTGCTAAACTGACCTGCCTGCAGTCCAGACCTGTCACCACTGAAAACATTTGGCACATTATGAAATATGAAATACAATAAATGAGACCCTGAACTGTTGAGCAGCTGAAATCCTGTATCAAACAAGAACAGGAAAACTTTTCACTTTCAAAACTACAGGTGATGAGGTGATGAAACACAGTGGTAAACTAAGGCCACCGTCCCAAATTTTTTGGAACGTGTTGTTGGCATCAAACTCAAAATGGGCATATATTTTTCAAAAAACAATACAAATAAGTATGTATATATATATATATGTCCACATTCTTGACCTGGTAAAGCTGTGTGCTCTTAAAATAACCTTCATTTCAATTCATCAATATTGAGAAAATGGATCATCATGGATCACGATACTTTGGTACACTTTATTTATATTAACACTAAAGAAGAGGAAAATCTCTGATAAAATTCACTATATATATATATATATATATATATATATATATATAACACACATTAAATATACATATTTATATATATATATATACACACACACACAGTCAATAGTTTCCTTAATTGTACTTGTGTAGTAGCTCATAGAAAACAATTGTTCTAATATGCTATAAGTTTCTCATAGAAATAATAAAAATCAACTAAAATCTTACATTATCTAGTGAATGTTATCAGAGATTTTCCTCTTCTTTAGTGTTAATATAAATAATGTGTACCAAAGTATCGTGATCCATGATGATCCATTTTCTCAATATTGATGAATTGAAATGAAGGTTATTTTAAGAGCACACAGCTTTACCAGGTCAAGAATGTGGACATGCAAGTGCACCAGCAACAGGGAGATCAGAGAGAAGCAGAGAAAATAACAAGTGTTAGAAGTGTTGCAGACAGAAGAACACTGAGGCGCAAGTTTTGTGAACATGCAAAATTGCATCAGTGTTTTTACTTTGTGACATTTTAAATTATTCTTTTTTTCTTAAACTTGAGCATTTGGGATGGTTGGTAAACATTATTTACGGTCAGATACGTTAATCTATTAAGACAGATAGACTCTTAATCAGATATAAAGGATGTTGGCAAAGTTTGGTGCAACTTTAAGAGAATTTGGTGATGAACAAATGGTAAGTGGAGCTGATAAACTGGGCAAAGAACGTTGATACCAGGTAGATGTACTTAGTGAAGGTGTGTCGGTGTAGATGCTGGCCGTATATATCTCGGCCGTGTTATTGTTTAATAATATTAATGCTTGTTCTGTGCTTACCTTGTCACAGTTCAGGCTACCTAATGTTATCTAGCAGACAGTGAACCAGGGACAAGATGAGGATTTTTATTAAGAAGCATAAGTTATGTTTTGCACCCTTCATGAATGCCTCCTTGTTGTTAAAATGCAATTGGAACTTGTGTGACAATGCTGTGCAGCTGATGGTGAGTGGGCAAAACTAGGCTTGACTTATCTTGTTTAAGTGGTAACTGAATAATAAGTCTTCATAAAATACCCCTATGCCATGAATGTGAGACTGGACAAGGAGAGGACCAAAGACAGGCAGCAGGTTAAGAGAGACGATCATTGATGGGGACTGTAAACAGGAATGGAATGACAGACAGGAGATGACATTGACATTGACCTGGGACAGGACAGTAGACTAACTGAAACTTTCTCTTGCCCAGGCAGGGCATCAGCGGTGACTCCATCGGCTACTGGTGGGGTTGTGGCAACTTCCTCTGCTGCAGGCATGGGAACGCTAACGTCCTCTGCTACAAGCAGGCGAGCGCCAACGTCCTCTGCTGCAGGCATGGGAACGCTAACGTCCTCTGCTACAAGCAGGCGAGCGCCAACGTCCTCTGCTGCAGGCGTGGGAGCGCCAACGTCCTCTGCTGCAGGCATGGGAGCGCCAATGTCCTCTGCTGCAGGCGTGGGAGCGCCAACGTCCTCTGCTACAAGCAGGCGAGCGCCAATGTCCTCTGCTGCAGGCATAAGAATACTAAACTCATCTGCACAAGTGTTTTCAAGCATGAACACAGGAACTGGAACAACTGAGCCTTCAGCCGTGGACTGGAGCACAAGAGTAGCTTTACCTACAGCCATAGGTAGGAGCACAGAAGCGGCTTTACCTTCAGTCGCTTTTTAGACAGCACTAAGATTCTTTAGTCTTTACTTCCAGGTGAGCTGGAGCCATGAACTTCAAAATATGAAATGTATTCAAGTTGTTCTCTATCAATTAAATTTAATTAATTTAACATTCTGCTCTAGTGCCATCGCCCACTGACTGCACGTTCTCACTGAACTGTCGTGATCACTGTGAGTACAATTATTACCATCAGAAAAATCATTTAAATAACTTTCCCCTGACAATCAGATTAGTTGCTTTAATCATAATGAAGACATTATTTGTGTGACATAACAAAGACAGTGTAGAGTAAATGGCTGCGGTTGTCTTTTGCAGCGAGGTACTACTGGATGAGGATCAGTGTTAATGTGACTGGAAACGCGTCTGAACATGAGTCAAACATTACTGAATGGGTGAGTACAGAACTGGCATTCTTTTATAAGCCTACATGTGTAGTGGAGGATGATTTCATTCTTTTTGAATTCTTTTTAAATATTTAGTTCGTTTCCAACTGGTACTATCAAATAGATTGTATAGTGAAATAACTAATATTTGCATTCTAAGTCACTGTCTGTGTTTACATGCAAAGATTTTTGCCAATCCGATTGAACACATTCCGATTACAGATTCAGACTGAGGTGTTTATTCTCACTCTACTCAACAATCTGATTAAAATCTTTGTTTACATGCTCACTACAAGTAATCTGATCCAAAATGACGCGCATGCATGGAGAACCACTTAGTGTAGACGTTACCATGACAGTGAACATCACGTAAGTCCAGTCAGAGTGAGATGAGCAGCAGTGAGCAGTGCTTGTATTTTTAATCACTTTAAAATAAAGAAGGCCGAGAGGAAGACGTCGTGTTCTGAGACACATAAGCTGGACGTCCGTCTCACCGCCGTCTTTTAAAGATCAGAGCATAAACTTCGTCTCCTCTGCAGACCAGTTTCTGCTCCGCCATGTTGAACGGTATAAACTCTCACTGTGACGTGACGAACATGATCAGAACGGACTTAAACTTTCTGATAGGGAATGTAATCAGATACAGGCGTTTACACGGATATTATTCTTCTATTTAACAGATTATTTACAGGATTACCCACCTCGATCAGTCGGATAGAAACTGTATTCCGAATGGCCTCAATCGGACTAGACTATTCCGACTGAGGTGTTTACACGGACGTATTCTATTCCGATAGAGCTATTAGTCAGATTATTAATGGATTATTAGGCTGCATGTAAACATGGCTATTGATATCTAGCTCATCTATCCTTGGCATCAATATTGATGGTAACACCTTCTCCCCACGTCCGCAACCTCTGAGTTATTTTTGACCCCACATTCTCTTTTGACATCCACATCAATCCCATTGTTAAGACAGCATTTTTCCATCTTTGTAATATTTCTCTCCTCTGACCGTTTCTCAGCCAAGCCGATGTAGAAACACTTGTGCATGCATTAGTGACATCACGGCTGGACTACTGCAATGTTCTTCTTTCTGGCCTCCCTGTCAAAACCCTCACTAGGTTACCATACGTTCAAAATGCCACTGCTAGGATCGTCACCTTTTTCAAAAAAGAATGACCACATCATTCAGGTCCTTCACTGGTTACCCATCACATTCCGTGTCCAGTACAAGGTTCTCCTTATAACATGTAGCTTTGCATGGTCTGGCTCCTCAATACCCAGCAGAGCTTCATCTGTATGTCCCATCCCGCACTTTAAGATCACAAAATGTTGAAAATCATGTTCCAAGGTTTAAATTGGCTTCTATGGGTGGTCTATCATTTAATGTAGTAGCTCCCAAATTGTGAAATACCTTCCCGTGGGATGCAACCTCTCTATCTTCATTTAAATCTCTGTTAAAGACTTGTTTTCACTGTGTGATCGTTGTTCTGTTTTACTTGAATGTTTACCTGTATTGTCCTCTGGTTTAGTGTGTTGGTGTTTAATGTGTTTGTTCTTTGACTGTAAAGCGTCCTTGAGCAGGGAAAGGCGCTATATAAATAAAAGTGATGATGATGATGATGATGATCCTCCATGATCTAGTTTACACACCTGTAAACCCTACATTCCCACCTTATAAATACATCTTGTGTTTCTACAGCTCCGGAGTCTGTTTCAGCAGCATGAATGCAGGTCTATCCTAACCACATCTCCCAGCTTTAGTTCTACTCCCTCAACGCAAAATGTCAGCTCAGCGACTGCAGTTCAGTCCCAAAACTGCGTGTCAACAAACAGGTAGTGTGATGACTAGTAATTATTGCTCATCAAGAAAAGTGTTGGCTGTTTTGTACGGTGTTGGGTAAGGACTACCAAACGTATATTAATGTTATGGTACAGTAAGTCCAGTGCTTTTACCAGCTTCGAAATCGGTCATGGGCAAAATTAGACCTGGACACTACTGTGTTAGAATGGCTGTGTCTTTAAAAGGTGCCATTTTGTTTTAAAATAAATTTGTTAAACGTCTTTATTAAATCCTTTCTTAATTTACGCACATTATTATTGCATAACCACTGTTGTTGAATACAACATTTTTGCAGACCTTTGCATTGGTAGCTTAAGTATTTCTATGTCAGAAAATAGGTTGCGATAAAAAGGCAAAAACACAACGGGAGAACGGAGAAAAAACAGGGTGGATACAAAAGGAGTGGAGCCTGACCAGGGAACCTGCGACTGGCTGAGATACAGATACATATGCAAAATTGATAGACATAGGCTGGGGAAATATCGAATTGTGATTTTTTTTTAGCCATATTGTGATTTAAAAATGTATATTTTCTATAAGCTCTGGAGCTTAGTTCAGGAGCTCTGCACTACTGGCTTAAATTTTCTCACTTAAAATTAAGACAGTGTTAGAAAATGTAGAATTTAGTTACAATTGCCACTCTTGCGATTAGAAAAATCCACTTTTTTAAATTGTAGTTTCAACATAAAAACTATTCATCGTTCAGCCCTTTTCAAAGCCAAGAATGTAGCTGAGGTAGGCTGTGTTTCTTGGCACTCAACTAGTGTTTTCTTCCAAGTTTCAACCACTCACAATGAAAATTGGCAGAAACAGCTAATGCTGAGTTTGTAATGAAATCTGAAATCTGAAAGCGCAGAGCTCTTGGGTGTGTAATCAGTAATGTATTTGTTATTGAGTGTAGAACCTTTATTGGTATGAAGTGGTAAAGTGAAATAGGTATGTTTGGTGTTACTTTGTGGTGAGGTGGGATGCAACACGGTGGGCAAAGAAAAGCGATGCTTAAGACCAGTGTGCTCAAACAAAGGAACTTCAAAAAGGGAAACTAAAAAGAACACAAAACCACCCGCAAGACTGTCTTTTCCTTTTGACCTTGTTCTTTTCTGTTCTTTTGTTTTCTTCTCTTTTCTTTTCTGTTACCTGCTTTGGTGCTCTTTCACCTTTTCTTTTTCTTTTATTACTTTGTCTTTTCTTCTCTTGTTCTTTCTCTATTTCTCTCCTTTCTTTATCTCTCTCCTTTTTCTTTTTGTTCTTTTCTCTTTCTCTTTCTTTCTTTCTCTCTGTGCACAGCCTCAGGTCAAATTCTGTATAAGTGTTAAGGTTTTTAGTAAATCAGTATTGAATGGGAGAGCAGATACAGTGTGGAGAGGGAAACTTGGCCTAGGGATGGATAAGTGACCGGGTTGGAGGGTGTTGGAGGGTGTTGGAGGGTGTTGGAGGGTGTCCCTTTAAAAAGAGATCTGGTGATCTCCAGTGGAGAATTTTACATGGGGCTGTAGCTGTGAACTCATTTGTGTCAGTTATTAATAAACATGTCAGTGATAAATGTGTGTTTTATGGTCTTAGAGAGACTTTCACTGTTTTTAGAGTGTGAAAGACTAAAACCGCTCTTTGGTACACTGAGTTTTTGAAGTGTGGAGAAGTTTTTATGTCACATGTTTTTACTTTCGGGACCGGCTACAACCGAAAAGACAGAATAAAATGGCAACTGCTTAACTTTGTTGTTGGCCAGGCTAAGCTTGAAGTTTAAAATTTGAGAAGGAACAAAGTAGAGAACCGAGCAGGACATGATGTCTTACCTTTGTTTATTGCTCCAGTGAAATCTAGAATTGTTTAAGTTTTATAAAGCCGTGAACAACTTGAGTTTGAATGGTGCTATAATGATGTTTTCTGCACTGTGCTGGAGGGTGAGTTAGTCTTTGCCAGTCCTTGGGGCTGATATTGTTTGGGGGCAGTCATATTACGCATGAAGCATTTGTGTGTTATGATTTAGTGACTGAATAAAAGTCTCTGTTAAATTTCTTTCTTTCTTTCTTTCTCGGCTGAATTACCATACCGGTTACCCCTCTACTAAGGTGTAATGCTGAGCTGCTGTTTTTGCTAGCTTTTTGTGCAACTGGTCAGCCCTGATTATCGCTAGGGCTTCTGGGAGTTGAAGTTCTGGGAGCTGCACCTAGCGGCTCTCCTGGCACGACGCCAAGGCCCACTAGTGGCGGCTGGTGTCCTAGCCTGAACCCCTTACACAAAGCCCTTTAAATTAAGCTAGAATGTAGCATTGAAGACATTGTTCAGTGAAAAAACGAATTTAAATAACAAATTCTGCTTACCCTAAATGCAGTTAATCAGGTGAGACGTTTGGTGTAAAATTTTTGCTTCTTTAGTTTTGAACTACAGCTGCAAGGCTAATGTTTCTATCACTGGAAGTCAATAGTTTCCCAAACTGTTTCCACAAATACTGTCTGATCAAACTAATCCAGGTCTTCATTAAGATCATGCAGACAAGTCATTGTGGTTTAGAACCTCTATATGTCAAATATTTGAAAAGTATTGGTGAAATATAAATAAATAAAAACAAAAACAAAAAAGCCCAAATGATGCATGTCTTTCTCCTTGTTTGCTTTTTAGCACAACAAATGAAAACAGCACCCGCCTTTTCCAAGTAAGCACCAGTTTAAGAGTAGCTCCTCAGTGTGGTGTATTTCCTCATGTTTTGTAGTGACTGAAGAGTGTGGCTGTGTGTGTGTATGTAGTAGGTGTGTGTGTGTTTTAGGTGGATCTTGATCTGTAACGTGAAGTGTAATCTGCTCTGTGTGCTTTAATTTTCAGGACCTTGAAGTCATGTGTAACAAGACTGACATACGGTCAGTCTCCATAATTCATCTTATTCATACAGCGCTGAACAGAATGTCTGAAGCTGGTGTTTTCTGACTAATGGTCCTTTGGTTCTGCTCGTCCCATAGGCGCACTGAGTGCACCGTGCTGTTGCATTTCAGTCAGCCAATCAGTCCGTGCTGCATTACATGCATTGTAAGCACAGTACAGATTAACTCCACCATCCAGGGAAAGGTGGTAGACATAAGGAAAAAGGGTGAGTGCCGTCACACAGAAACTACATAGTTGTGACACTACATAGTTAGTTTTTAAATGATCTTTTCATTTTTCAAAGGAAAAAAAAAATTTTGCAACACCTATATCGCCAATGTGAAAAAGTAATTGCCTCCTAAACTTATTAACAGGTTATGTTACTTTTAGTGGCAGCAACTGCCACCACTGCTTCCTATACCTGGAGATCAGTCTTTCACATTGATGTGGAAGAATTTTGGCCACTCTACTTTATAGAATTGCTTTAATTTGGCCACACTGGGGGGATTTTGGGTATGATCTGCCCATTTAATGTCCTGCCACATCTCCATGGGGTCCAAGTCAGGACTTTGACAAGGCCACTCCGAACCCATAATTTTATTTCCTTTGAGTTATTTAGAGGTGGACTTGCTCTTGTGCTTTGGATTGTTGTCTTGCTGCATAACCCAGCTGTGCTTGAGCTTCTGCTCATGGATGGATGACCAGGCATTCTCTGGTAGAGAGCAAAATTCATGCTTCTCTTAATTATGGCAAGTTGCCCAGGCCTCGAAGCGCCAAAGCATTTCCACACCACACTACCACCGCCATGTTTTGTTGGTATGACATTCTTATTACGGCTTGGCTATGCTATGTACTTTCTAAGGTAGGACAGCCTCTCAAACTAATGAATGTCATATAGATTATAGATTATAGATTAAGATATTAATGCCCCATCATCTTGCCTGCTTATTAATGTAAAACAATAAGATCACTGTACTGCTAGTAACTTGTATATATGTACAGAAAAATGTAGAAAGCTAGAAAACTTTCTTGGGGTAGACGTGGGCTGGAGGTTAGGGAACCAGCCCTGTGACCGGAAGGTTGCCGGTTCGATCCCCTCGGCTGACAGTCTATGACTGAAGTGCCCTTCAGCAAGGCACCTAACCCCCAGTTGCTCCCCGGGCGCTGTGGATAGGGTTGCCCCCTGCTCTGGGCAAGTGTGCTCTCTGCCCCCTAGTGTGTGTGTTCACTAGTGTGCATGCATGGAGGTGTTTCACTGCACAGATGGGTTAAATGCGGAGGTCTAATTCCACAGTGTGCAAAACACAGTTGGCTGATGGTTCTGAATATGAATAACTTGTGTTTTCAGCCTGTTGAAAGTTTGAAAGCTTTAAAATGTCAGATGTAGGATCTGTGGGATCAAAGCATTATTTACAAAGCATGAAGTGTGTGTATCAAAAAATCTGGAACAGTTGAGGTGACTGAGCTGGTAATTAAGGAGGGGGCAGTTATGAAGGGTATTTTGTATTACCTTAAACATACATATAAAAACCCACACTAAACACCTGTTAAGGCAGATACAGTAGCTGTGAGTGTGTGTGTGTGGCCTGAGTCCTGCCATGAATCCTGGCCTAAACTAACCCAGTCCGGCCCTGGCCGTAGGAAGGTATTTTGAGTAGGTGGTGGTTGGGGTGGAAGCTACTTGTGTGCCTCGCGTTTTATGTGCCATGGGCAGCTGTCAATCACACTGTTACACTCTCAGAAATAAAGGTACTAAGCTGGCTCTGGGTCAGTGCCCCTCTGGTCACTTTGTTCTGGTTCCCTCAAGGCTCCATCTCAGTACCTTTAGTCAGGGAACATAACTGAACCATAATCCACTGAAATGATATGTTCTAAGCTGTACTGACTCCACACACCCCGTCTCGTCTCCAGGCTTTTATTTTACTGTTCTGTTTAAAACATTCAGTTATGAAAAGGAAGAAATATGAACTTTTCACCTGGAAACACTTATTTAAGGTTCACAATCAGACCTTAAAACCACTGTTGGAGCTTTGAGGGAACATTTACACTGTTTGTACCTTGACAAACAAAAAATGTACCTGAACAGAACCTTTATTTCTAACAGTTTCCGTTTGTTCTTTGACGTACCATCAGATATCTTCTGGATGAGTTTAGAGTGCTGCTTGTGAGGTTTCCCTATCTAATGACCACAATAATACATTTGATTTTGAAAGAAATGAGCAGGAGTGTTGATACTTTTGAACATCCAGTTTTGATTCTAGCTAAATGAAGTGAACCTTGTACACTGTTATATTAATTGTTTTCTTGTTACGTCTTAAATTATGTAAAGGGGCAGAAATACGACGGATTTAAAACTCTTGATTTCTCTTGCCAGAAATGAGAGCTGAAGACCTGCTGAGCCAGAGCAAGAATGGTTTTGCCCTGAACTCCACACAGGTGCAGCAGATCGTGTTTTGGCTTGAGACGCTTCTCTCAGAGCCCAGCGTCACGCTGGATCTGTTGAACATTTCCATTAACATTGTCAGCAATCTGCTGGATGCATCAGCGAAGATGCTGCCATCCACTTCAAACAGGTGAGATGAACAGATGTTATTGCTGTTTATCACAATACTTTTAAGCAGATCTTTCTCGGGCTTAAGAATGCTTTACACAGTAAACAGAAGGCAACATGTTCAACAGCAAAGATGGTGTTTTCATCTAAACCTTGAAATAAACAAAAAGTTTTCAAATTTTAGAAATTTTGTAACCAAGAAAAGCCTTCCACCCAATGACTGCTGGGATAGGCTCCAGCTCCCCCCATGACCCAGAAGGATAAGTGGCTTACAAACAAACGGTGTACAAGTTATGGTGCTTTATTTTTAGGTTGTTGTTGGCTACACAGATGTGCACATCACCCATGTCATGTGCACTAATACTCCCCTATACCATCATGAATACTGGCTTTTGAACTGTGCACTGATAAGAAGCTGAGTGGTCTTTAGTCTGGAGGAAACAGTGTCCATGATTTCCAAAAAGAATTTCAAATGTTGATTCGTCGGACCACAGGACACATTTCCACGTCCCCTCAGTCCATTTTAAGTGACCTTGGGCCCAGAGAAGGTGGCAGCGTTTCTGGATCCTGTTTATTTATGTTTTTTTTCTTTGCGTTTTAGAGTTTTAACTTGCATTTGTGGATGCAGCAACAAACTGTTTTCATAGACAGTGTTTTTTAGAAGTTTTCCTGAGCCCATGCAGTGATTTCCACTACAGAATCATGTCTGTTTTTAATCCAGTGCTGCCTGTCTTTTAATGATATTATGTACCGTAGATGATGAAAAGCAAAAGCTCTTTGCTATTTTACGTTGAGAAACGTTATTCTCGAATTGTTGCACTATTTGATGGTGCAGTCTTTCACAGAGTGGTGAACCCCTCCTCATCTTTACTTCTGAAAGACTCCGCCTCTCTGAGATGCTCTTTTATACACAGTCATGTTACTGACCTGCTGCCAATCAACCACCAGGTGTTTTTTTAAGCATTACACACCTTTACCAGCCTTTTGTTGCCCCTGTCCCAACTTTTTTGGAATGTGTTTCTGGCATCAAATTCAAAACGGGCAAATATTTTTCAAAATACAATATAATTTCTCAGTTTCAACATTTGATATGTTGTTTTTGAAGCATTTTTAATGAAATATAGGGTTTAAATGATTTGCACATCATTGCATTTTGTTTTTATTTACATTTTTCACAGTGTCCCAAGTTTTTTGGAAATGGGGTTGTAGAATCAGGTGAGCTCCAGCTTGTTTGGAGTGAAAACCTGCAGCTACACCGGCCCTTTGTGTATAACATGCACTTAGCATTAAATAAACAAACAGTGCCAGAGTGCAGTGATATACGGTGTGTATTTCACACTTTGTAATCACTAGAAATATTGAATTGCAGTACAAGTCACAACCAATGTGTCGTTAACCAATTTTAGTTCCAAGTCATGATGCAATTTTAGGGAAGGCCCTACATCCCGTTAACTCCTAAAGGAACCATCAGTGGACATGTCAGTAATGAGCTCATAATACTCTCATGTCAGGACACTATACAGTAATGCCATTCAAATAAAAACACTGTTTCTCTTCTGATTTGATCAGAATCATTAGAATTGTGGACACACTTGGTTTGCAGCTGGAGGTAGAGGGACAGAATGAGACTATTCTCTCCCCATCTGTGGCTCTGGCAGTGGTGAGAGTGAATGGGACAAACTTTCAGAACACCTCGTTCACCATGAACTCCTCCAACTTACAGGTAATGCTTCAAAACTATTTCTTACTGTGTTCAACGTCCCAAACCTGTATTTTACACCATGATGATCTTTGTCAATGATAATCATTTAGCACATTAGAATAATTGCTTGTGATATTATTTTCAAATGCCCTGTCTACTTACCTACTACAAGCAAGCTCACAATATTTTGTTTACATCAATTTTTGAATGTATAGATTAATTAGATTAAGTGACCTTTATTAGTCCCACAACTGGGAAATTTCATCTCCACATTTAACCCATCTGTGCAGTGAAACACCACATACACACACACTAGGGGGCTAGACTTGCTCAAGGGCACCTCAGTCATGTACTGTCGGCTCACGGTATCGAACCGGCGACCTTCCGGACCTCCAGCCCACAACAACCCGCATAAAGATTTGGTCTTTACAAGTGGGATTCGAATCCACGCCTCCAGGGGAGACGGCGACCTGAACACAGGGCCTTAGACCGCTCGGCCATGCTGACTGCATTAGAAGATGCTAATATTACAGATTGGATGCAGAGTGTCTACAATCTGGCTCTTTTTCTTTTCTATTAGATAGATGTTGGCACTAACTTCAGCTGGAGCGTAAACAACACAGCCTTTCCTCTTCAGGGTTCCATCATTCTCCCCTCCACCCTCTTGAGCAACCTCAGTGAGAAGCAGCAAGCATCCAGAATACAGTTTCATTTCTACCAGAATAGCTCTCTGTTTCAGGTCTGTACTCCTCTTTCTGAGGTACTTTTCTTATCCTTATGTTTGTAGGGTACGTCTAGACGTATAGAAAAGGTTCTGTAATTCTGGTACTTTTTTGGTAGACTGCACTTAATTTATTGTGTTTTATTAGGTATTCCTATTCATCATTATACTGGTGTGACTTGCAGTTTGAATAATCCCTGGCATAGTTTTGAAACCAGCTTTTTAGTGTAAAAAATGTACAAATATTTTCATTGGAATAAATTTGATAGCAAGCATTACTGTCCTGGCTGTGTGTAGGACCAAACGACAAACTCAAAGTTGATCAGCGGAGTTCTGGGATGCAGTGTGGCTAACCTGTCTATCTCCAATCTGATAGACAATGTGACAATTACGCTGAAGAACACTGAGGTTGTTTGGGTCAGTAAACATTTTAAGTTTTATTATGCTATTATTCTATAAGTCTGGTTTCACTAGACTTAAGGAGAACAAGAACTTCAGTTCTCATTAGGGCTGCATGATCTAGACATACAATTTAATGTACCATAAAGAAATACAGTAAGCAATAAATGATGATGCAAGCTGTTAGAAAGTCATTTCAGCATTTTCTGAACTGCTTTTTATATATAGGCGTACAAAGAAATCCCAGATGTTTGATGTCCAGGGGAGTTGCTATTATTTTAGATGTGCAATTTGTTGCAGTGGAGGTGAATGCGAGTTGTTTACCTGTGAACGCATTCTCTGTTCACTATATATCATTTGCCGTATAGTGAACTGTCTAGGGCTGACCAAAAGAACTCTGGGACACCACACTCAAAAACATTGCTTCAATGAAAATGACAGATATTTGTGAGAGGAATCTGTTGCATCAAAAGGTTAAACCCGTGATAGCCCTATGAACTGGCATTATTGATTTTGGAAATAGATAGATAGATAGATGGATGGATGGATGGATACATAGATAGACACATAGATACATAGATAGATACGCTATTGGTCCAAACGATCTCCTGTACCGTTCCTCCCTACAGTGGAGCTGAATGAGTCTGTTGCTGAAGGAGCTCCGCTGTCTGACCAGTAGGTCATGGAGGAGGTGTGATGTGTTGTCCAGGATAGCAGTGAGTTTATTAAGTGACCTCCTTTCAACCTCCACCTCAAAACCATACAGTGAGCATCCCAAGACAGAACCAGCCTTCCTGATCAGTTTGTTGAGCTTTTTTGCATCTCCTCCTCTGATGCTGCGTCCCCAGCAGACTGCTGCACAGAACACAGCGCCGCCATCAACAGACTGGTAGAAGAGCTCCTACATCTTCCTGCACATATTAAAGGACCTGAGCCTCCTTAGAAAGTAGAGTCTGCTCATCCCCTCCCTGTACACAGCCTCTGTGTTGACCCTCCAGTCCAATTTGTTGTCAAGCAGGACACCCAGACATTTGTAGGTGTCTACCAGCTCACCGTTCTGACCTGTAATGGTAACGGGACTGATCGTGGTCCTCTTCCTACTGTAGTCCACCACCATCTGCTTGGTCTTGGTCACAGGTCGTTCCTCGTACAGCACTCAACAAAGCTTTCCACACGGTTCCTATACTCTCCTTCCTGCCCATCCCTAATGCACCCGACCACCACAGAGTCATCAGAGAATTTCTGAAGATGGCAGTGGTTCGACCTGCATTGGAAGTCCGTCGTCTACAGGGTGAAGAGGAAGGGGGAGAGCACAGTGTTAGCACAATTGATTAACACTGAGTCATGCACAAGAGCTGCCAAACGAAGTATTCTAATGCTTCCCCCAGTGTTTGGCACAAACACAATGCCTTTTTAGTGTTTTTCATGTGTTAGACTCATGAACAACAGTGTCAACCTGTTCCACTGATTCCTTCAAACCTTTACCTGTTATTCTGCGGTTTTGTTTCTGCTTCATTCTGCATTGTGCCTTTGGACTGACCTTGGCTGGGTGCCTACTTCCAGGGAGAGTAGACCCAGTAGTAAATATTCTCCATCTGTAGACAATTCATCTAAATATAGACAGATGAATAACCCATTCCAGCTTTATGAAAATCAGCAATTAGGTGTCTTTTTGTGAGGCATGGTTCACATCAGCAGATGCATCTTGTGAAAAGCAAACTCAAAAATATACCTCCAACCTCATTTCATTGACAGGACTCCAGATTAGATTGTTTTTTTTATTTTATATTTAATTTTATTTATCTAATTTTTAATTTTAGGGGATGTTTGAATGTGAATGTTTGAATGAGAGTGTTCAAATATGATAAGAACAAGCCTTTATTTGTTTAAACAGACTGTGTGTTGTAACTTAGATGAAGGTGCTCCGGGGGGTGGGGGGGTGGGGGGCAGTCGTGGGCTGGAGGTTAGGGAACCGGCCCTGTGACCGATCCCCAGAGCCGACAGTGCATGGCCGAGATGTCCCTGAGCAAGACACCCAACCCCCAACTGCTCCCCGGGCACCGCGGATAGGGCTGCCCACCGCTCCGGGCAAGTGTGCTCACTGCCCCCTAGTGTGTGTGTTCACTAGTGTGTATGTGGTGTTTCACTTCACGGATGGGTTAAATGCGGAGGTGAAATTTCTAATTTGTGACTAATAAGGGTTACTTAATCTTAAAAAGACCAGACCATATTTTAAGATGACTTTATACACAAATGTGGGTGATTCCAAAGGATTCAGATACTTTTTCAGTACGAATCAGCATTTGGGCAACAACTTCACTAAAATAACAACACAGATCAGCAAGTTTACTGCTGGTCTATGCTGGTCTACGCTGGTCTTGTGCTGTTTTCGCTGGTCACCCAGTATGATACTGCTGCTGACCATATGTTGTGTTTTGGATACATACCAGCATCCAAACCACAACGTACACTTGTTTTACTGGTGACCAGCCACGTTGTTCTGTGCTAATTGTTTAGCTGGGTATCAACATTGCATGTTTATGGTCTGCTTACGCTAAAAAGCGTACACATATAGAGCGTCTCAAGCAGATCCTTCATGAAATACTTCATCATACGAGATCGTATTTTTGTCACTTACAGATATTCAGTTGATGGACATATCGCTTACATTTAAATAAACCCAACATTGTTGTTTTGTTAAGAACTGTTTTAACACATTTACTGTCATCATTTCAATAAATCAATCAACCTTCATTTAACCTTGGAGAACATTGAGGGTGACCCTCATTTACAATGTTGCCAAGTTGATACAGAAGCAGGGATTGATAATGTGATGATAAAAGTACATTTAATAAAAATGAAATCATTGAAACATCAAAACATGCGTAATAAAAATACATAAAAATACAGTAGAAAATATAAAACAATAATTAAAATATAGCTAAAATGTAATAGTGAATAAAATCAAAATAAAATAAAAGGAGGATAAGATCATAAAGTAAACTAAAAATTCATTAAATGGCAAATGGACGAAATGGAAAGGAAAAAACACCATTATACTAGGTAATTAAAATAAATATCTATACTGAAAACATATCAATATATGAAGTTATTATCATTCATGTTAATAGTATTGTTTGTTGTGTTTTAATTTTGACCTACAAAGCTTTACACATCATGATGTGATGACTGTAATTGTAGGCGTATTTGTACTTTGTTTATCTAGCTTTACATTTACATTGCTACATGTTTGCTTTTGGCAAAACTCATATTGCAGTAACAAAAATATGAATCATGCAGCCCTAATGTTTATGTTTTACAAGTTACCAATGCTTTTACTTCAAATCTTGTCTAGTAACTCCTTTCTCACTGCCATTCTCTTCACAGAATCACACTTCAGTGTCCTGTGTGTTTTGGAATTTCAGCTTAAACAGTAAGGAACAGGAAACGCACTTGGGGAGGGAGATTTCTCAGTAAACTCCATTATTACTTTACTACTTGCTTTTAGTTAAAAAATAAAGTAACTGTCAATGAAAAGAACAGTGCATATGATCATCCCTTAGTGAAATGAAATAAATAGGCCCAGTATGCTGTGGAGCTCTTGAACAGAGAGACTTGATTGGCCTGTTTTTGCACTTCTTGGTATTGTTCACTCTGGAGCATCTCTAGTACTTTTCTATTTCCAGTTTTCATTACCATCACTGTATGGTAAACTTGATACTGTACCAGAGCAGAGTGTGACCAGCTACCAGCACTGCACTGCAAGATCCTTATGATTTACTGGCAAAACAGAGGTTGTTTTGTAGCTTAACTGCAAGATAAAGTATATTTTCCATGGCAGATCTACTTTAAAACTGTAATACTGTTTTAGTCCATTGAGACATGTACAGCTGGGATATTTAACATTTGCATTGCAATCATTGTGTTTTGCTTTTTCTTCAATAGACCAATAGATAGATATATAGATAGATATATATATAGATGGATAGATACATACATAGATAGATAGATAGATAGATTGATAGATTGCAGTGTTTCAGTAGCAACACATATCATTTCACATAAACTTACATGTCACTGCTGTCAGATCAAAACCTCGTATCTCCAAAATGGTAACGTTATAGGAGAAGAAAAAAACATACTAAACATTTAATGTGAGTCAATTGTTGTATTTACATGATAGCAGGCATTGAGTAGTATGAGGTCCAGAAGCACAATGAGTACAGACATAACTAGGAGTATCAGCAGTATTACAGTGTACAGTGCTCAGTGAGAGTCATTTCAGTAGCAGTTGTGATACATTGCACTGTGAGTACTAACAGTAAAGGAGATACAGCGATGTGGTTTAGCACAGTTTAGCACAGTTCAGACAGCACAGTTCTTGTGCTTTTTATTAGATTTTTTTCATTTCTGGCTGATATGGTATCTTCTTGAAGTTTGTGATTGATTATTTGCCTGATTTGTTGATTGGCAGGTGGCTCTGGTGGCTGGAGCTCTGAAGGCTGCACTGTGCTGAACAGCACTGTGAATGAGACGCTGTGCAGCTGTAACCATCTCACCAACTTTGCTCTGCAGGTGAAAGCTCTTTTGCTCTTCATATTTTGCAGGTTTTCTGGGACTTCACAGTAAACAAGGACAGCATAGACAGATTCAGGAAAATGTCCTTTATTTGCATATAACCCTGGTCAGCGGAGAATCTCAGCACTACAGTATACCACTAGATTCTGCCACCAGACAGTCTACATCCCACACAATCCTCTCCGACCCGCAGAAGCATTTTCATTTCCTAATAACATTAGCTCGTTTCACAATGTGCTGCACTACAGTCCCCAGCATGCACTGCAACGCTATGTACACTCTGACCCTGCTACCCCATCAGCAGTCTATGATACAGCACCTCAATTCCACATAATTCTACACAGTTCCACAGCAGGTATATCACCAAACACATCAGCTGCGTTTCAGCTGCAGTTCAACCAACATAAACACTGAACACGACTCCTGGGGACAACAACTTTCATTACATATTTTATAATATTTATTTGCCATTTGTTTTCTTTATGTCATTTAATTCATATATTTCATAGTCGTGTATAGATTATTGCAGTTAAAATAGCAGAAAAACATATTTTTTCTTCAAAATATGGCCTCAGCCTTTACACATGACTGTGAGGACGAGCTCTTCTGTGGTACTTGGAATTCTATATAATCAATTTAAAAACTAAAATTACTAAATTGAGGCTCAAGAAGGTGTAATTATTAAAATAACTTATTGTTTAATTTTAAAATCTAAATAAATTGTAACCCTAACATGTTTTTTTAAGTGTAATATATCTGTAAACGCTAGGGACACAAAAATGGACGTTTCTGTAGAATGACCCATATATACGACTCGTACAAAATACCCTCCAGTGTAACGGTACGCTTAAAGCAGCATATTTATAAATATGATTTCTTTATTAAGCAAACTGCCTCAGTCATTTAAAAGCAAAGGGTAATCTCTTAGCCTCTGGATGTTAAATCAGCCCCATCAGTTAGATCAGAGGTAATCATTGTCTTCTGCATGATGTGAATTATTTTCCTTTCAGTGAATGATGTGGAAACATGTTGGCTTCTTGACGCAACACTGAGAAAAGAGAAATATCTTTTCTTTAGGTTAGCCCAGCCGCACTCATTCTGACTTCTCAGCCGTGTCTGTGGCACGTTAAGGCAGTCATGTTTTGTAGTGACATTAACAGTAAAACAATATACAGACCTCTCATTGGCCGTTTGAGCTGGTAAACGTACCTACTAAATTGTGACTTTAATACCAGGGTGCTAGATGTCAATGATGTCAACTTTTTTCAGGGTCAACTTTTAACATTTAGAGTTTTATATGAGAGGAGCGGATGCTGCGAGAATCTTGGACCAGCTTTTAACACTGAGTGCGTTTACATGCACTCAATAATCCGATCAAAATCGGATTTCTGCAGTTATCTGATTATTCAAATGGTCATGTAAACACCATACTCCAATCTAGAAATCCGATAAAGAGGCTTGATTTTACCTCAGTAATCAGACTTCTCAGCGCATGTAGACTCGTACTCTGATTTCTTTCGGATTTCTCAGTCTGAGCATGCACGAGAATAGGCGGTGGTACCAGCAGCGATGCCGCAAGATGGCAGCAAAACACTTTTGGAGAGGCGCTGAAACACGAAATTAAGGTAATGTAAATATTCTTCATCTTCTAGATGATTTTCATAGTTTCAAGTAAAGTTGGACAATGTTTAAAAAAAAAAAAAGCTGCGGCATGAAGTTGGAGTTTTACATTGCGTTTACGTCGCGTCTTCTTCTGTGAGTTTATTGGCTGATCGCAAAGCAGAAATCTGATTACTGTCTGACTCATGTGGACCCGGAGTTTCCCCATTATCTGATTACTCATATGCATGTAAACGTGTTGATCAGATTACTGACAAAATCTGATTTCTGCAGTTATCGGATTATTGAATGCATGTAAACACACCGTTAACTATTTTTGTCACACTGGCTTATTAAAGACTCACTTATGCAAGTTTAGAGGATAAAGACTCAAATCTGAGCAGGTAAACTTCTGATTTGTGAATGGAGCTGTGAGCTTAAACTACTTGTGCTTTATTATCCTCATTAGCATCAGAGGCTTAGTTTAGCAAGAATGCTAAAACAAGGTTTGGAATGTAAGCATAAAATTGAGCATTTTATTCTGTCTGCAGCAGATGCTTCGTTGTGGCAGCAGTGGCACAGAGTAAGTGCTTTTATAGCATTCTTCAACCAAATGTTACCACACTGAGAAAGGAGCTTTTACAGTGCTGTGAAAAAGTATTTGCCCTTTCCCAATTTATTTTGATTTTTGCGAATTTGTCACACTTGAATGTTTCAGATCATCAATCTACTTTTAATATTTGACAAAGATAACTCAAGTAAACACAAAGTGTTGTTTTTGAACGATGATTTCATTTATTGAAGGGAAAAGGCTATTCAGCCCTACCTGGTCCTATGTGAAAAAGTAATTGCCCTTGAGCTACTAAATCAATCAGTTAACCAAATTCAGTTGGCTATTGGGTTTAATTTCACTAACCACACCCAATCATCATTACTGCTTGACCTGTTGAATCAAAACATCACTTAAATAGAACCTGTCTGGCAATGTGAAGCAGATAGAAGGTCTTAAATGGCAGCACATAATGCCACGTTCTAAAGGAAGTCATTTAAATCTACCGTCTGGAAAGGGTTACAAAGCCGTTGCTAAGACTCTGGGACTCTGGCAAACTACAGTGAGGGCTGTTATCCACACATAGAGAAAACTGGAACAGTGGTGAACCTTCCCAGGATGGCCGGCTTACCAATATTTCATCAAGAGTGCATCAACAACTGATCCAGGAGGTCACAAAACAACCCAGATGAACATCTAAAGAACAGCAGGCCTCACTCGCATCAGTTAAGGTCAATGTACAAGATACCACAATCAGAAAGATGCTGGGCAAAAATGGCATCTACGGGAGAGTCACAATGCACAAACCACTGCTGACCAAAAAGAATAAAAAGCCTCATCTTACAGTTGCCAAAAAACATCTAGATGACCTCTAGACTTTTATGATAATATTCTGTGGACTAATGAGTCAATGGTGGAAACTTTTGGACATTAGTCCCATTACATCTGCCATAAAGCTAATAATGCATTCTACCATAAGAACACCACACTGACAGTGAAACATGGTGGTGGTAGTGTGATGGTCTAGGGCTGCTTTGCTCCTGCAGGACCTGGACGACTTGTCACAATTGAAGGACCATGAATTCTGCTCTCTACCAGAAAATCCTGAGGAAGAATGTCTGCCTGTCAGGTCATGACCTAGAGTTCAAGCGCTGTCGGGTTATGCAGCAGGACAGTGATCTGAAGCACACAAGCAAGTCCACCAAAACTCCTCCATAGCATAAACGGCTCATCTCAAGTTATCATAAATGTTTGACTGCAGTTTTAAGGTTTAGGGGGGCAATTTCTTTTTCACATGGGTGATATAGATTTTGAATAAATCTTTATCTTCAATAAATGGAATGATCATTTAAAAGCTGCATTTGGTGTTTAGTTGCATTGTCTTTTATCTTATACTAAAATTAGTTTGGTGACCTCAAACATTTGAATTTGAGCATTTAGCAAAAACCATTTAGCAAAAAAAGAAATCGGTTGAGGGGCAAATACTTTTTCACAGCACTGTACAGTGCTCAACTCTCACATGCACAATTGTAAACATTACAATACAAACAATCCTTCTACACAACAGAGACACCTTGTCTGAAGAGTTAGCTGAAGGTCTGCTGAATCAGACCAGCAACGCCTCTGCTCTGAACTCCGCCCTGGTCGAGCGCATTGTGTCTCAGCTAGAACCGCTCGTCTTTGGGCCCAGAGTGAGCCAGACTCTGGGGAAGACGTCTATCAACATCGTCAGCAATCTGCTGGCCGCATCACCAGCAGCGCTGGTGTCCACTGCAAACAGGTGAGATGAGCAGTTGGGTTGTTGCTCTTTGTTTCTAAGTTAAGGCTCTATATTAATAGCCTTAGAGCTCATTACATCTTTATTTTTTTTTGCTCGTATATTTTGGCCTTGATGTTTGACGTGTGTGTGTGTGTTATGTTATGTGTCTTTACAGACTGGAAAAACAGAAATGAAATGTTTCTGTTTTCATGTGTAAACTAAATGGCATGACTGTGTTTAACCCTCGTGTGGTGTTGGTGTGTTTGTTACTCAGTGGTCTGCTGGATCCACCACATTATTGTTTTTTTTTTTAATCAATACAGTCATAACAATTTATGTAAAAATACCAGATGTTTGAAATATCACAAGTGTCCAGCGTAGGGTTCTCCTTTAGCAGCTGTAGCCAGTCAGCAGCCTGTCCATGTTGCCCACCCTCACACACACACACACACACACACACACACACACACACACACACATACAAACACATACACACAGACACACACACACAGCAGGCCATGTAGGAGGAGAACAGAGTGAAGGACACAGCACCTCCACACTTTTACTCCCTGCGGGTTCTGCCAACACCACATGTGTAATAAATAAAATGTGTGGGGGGTGAACAGAGTGAAGACACTGAAAATGGGTTATTTTATATGTTCTTCACAGAAAATGAGCAAAGGCCAAGAAATCTGAGGCTGAAATAATAATAAATCACATCATTTCTTTCTTTTGGTAAACATTAAAAATGGGTCCCACAGACCTGAACACCACACAAGCGTTAATCACCTCATTATTTCAGCAGTAATATCACTAACATCAGAGCTTACTGATCAACAGTATTGCTGTGCTATCACCGCAGTCGATCCACGCAGTTCACTGTATACTTTTACGTTAGATAACTAAGATAACCCAGTTTTTATTTTATTCATGAATAATATCACATATTCTGTCTCATGTTCACAGACAGGTTTTTCTTCTTTAAATCTGCACAACTCGCCCATCCAGTGCTGAAGCAGCATCAGCAGCTTCTTTTAACAGTGTTTAGAATTTCACCAGAGCACACAACTCAACAGTGTACTAAATACACAGTGCATAAGTATTTTATCAGTATAACAGTAACGTAAGTGTTCATGTCTGAATAGGGCAAAACTCTGGTCTTCACTGTTTGGTGGGTCGTCTTGCAATTATTTAATATTAAGTGCTGTCAAGTCATCATATGAATAATAATATTATAATAATAAGGCTGGTGCATGATCTGATTGTATCCACCTGTCTTATAACTGGTCATCTTCTTTTTCCTTTTTGGAAATATCATCAAATCTAGACTTTCTTGTTCAAACTGGCTTATTCACAATTCCCTAAAATTAAACATACTACATTTGACTTGTGATAAAATGTATTTTTATTTTATTACTTTAAATGTCTTATTTGTTTGATATTATTTTAGAGTTTATTAGGATAAACTCTATTATTATAGAATATGTATTTGTATTAATTCTAAAGATGTTTTAGTATTTGTTTTACCAATATTTTATATTACTTCTGTGTTATTCTTGTTCTTTATGATTTGTGTTTTTTTGGTTTATGTTTAATTTTATTTTTGTCTAATTTGTAAAGGCTTGACATTTTGGGGCTGTATAAATAAACTCATCATTGCCAGCTCTAGCTTTACACAAACATTGCTAAAGCATTGATTTCACAAAGAATTGAATGCAGCATGCAGATGTTTCTACCCACAACTGTTTCCTCTTCGGAGGGAAAGTTCATCTGTCTATCTGAAATGTTATATTCACTTTAAAAAGACCTTTTGTTTTCTCCTGATTTGATCAGGATTGTTGGAATTGTGGACAGTGTTGGCTTGAAGCTGGTGGTGCAGGGACAGAGTGAGACTATTCTGTCCCCATCTGTGGCTCTGGCAGTGAAAACGGTGACCGGGACTGTCTTTGAACAGACCTCATTCACTCTGACTGACTCCTCCACCCTGCAGGTAATATTCAGACATCAGTGCTCGCACTGCTGAGAAACAAACGCTGTATTTTACACCATGATGAGTTTTGTCTGTGAAGATGTAGAACATAAAATAAGAAAGATTACCTGTGATATTATTTTAGAATACACACAGTGTTTTGCTTACATTACACTGTCAGAATAAAAGGGTTCTGTGCAGGTGCATTTTGTTCATCAAGGCACAAACAACATAAATGTACCCTCAAAGGTACAACAGTGGTTTTAATGTTTTTTCCCCAGGGGAAAAGTATGTTTTCATACCTTTTCATAACCCTAAATCCTGATGTTTTTTAAAACAGAAAAGTGACATAAAAAGCCAGGATAGCAGACAGAGTGTGTACAGTTGAGTTTGGTCCCATTACGCTCCCTAACCTACGATACTGAAAACACTCTTGAGGGTAACATTGCAATGACAGGAGTGACACTTTAATATAGGTTTTCTGTAGAAAGTCTTTTACTGTCTTAAAGTTTGTTAATTTTCAATAAAATGTCTGAAAACGTCGTTTTTATTATTAGAGGTATTAAATTCAGGGGTGTCCAGGTGTATTTTGAAGGATTGGGTATTGGCTATTTTAAGCCTGATCCAGTTCTCTGATAGCAAAATAACTTTGTGGCATTTTTGTCTGTTTTGGTTGAAAACCTAAAATCAACAACAGATCAACATCGCCATCATTGAATTCTTAAACATTGTGTAAACTGGGAATCAATTCTGAAGTCTGAAGAACTGAAAACCATGTTGAAAATACACTCTGCCACGTTTATCACTTGCGAGTCTTGAGTGGTTAAAAATGAAACTATCACTAAATGCAGCCCCTAAAGCTGTTTTACAGAAAGTTCCTACTGTTAGTCCTACGTTAAGAGCTGATGACCTCAATCTAAGGTATTTCACAGATTTATATCAGAGACCTAAATCTTATCATAATTTAGGAATCATATCTTGCAGCATCTTGTCTTAAGTTAGGAAATCCTAATCCACGCAATGGATTAATAATTGATTGTTATGTTTGTTACTGAGCAGCCAATCATATGAGCACAACTGAGACACTGAAAAAAAAATGAAAAAACAATACTACAGTTTGATATGCTGGAGGTTTTAGGAACCTCGACTTAAAAAGTTAAGAATATTGTGGTCGTTTCCGTGTATGTTTTAGGCTTTCGTCGTCCTGCGAGCTGTGCTGATATTATTTCTCCTAAAAAACATCCACATGCTAAACTCTGTATCCTCATTATTCACTGCTATTGCAGTAATATGAGTTTTCATCCACGTTAAAAGATGCAGGTAATGAAAGGGACTTAGACAGATGGTACCAAAGAAATCTTATTTTTTTATATTTTTAAGTTCGTTAGCATTAAAGTCAACCTGAAATCAGTTTGGACATTTTTTACCTTGTTAGTTCTTGTCAGTGGTCATTATTAAACACGATCCATTGTGTCCTATCATTCAAAAGATAAAATTCCTGTTACTTGGTAATCCTTAGTTGACGTGTATGAGTTTTTGAGTCATTGTTTACCTGCGGCAAATAAAAATTTAACTAACAATAATATCATGTCCCCCTCCATAAAAAAGTTATTAACAAAAAAAAAATGTTGTCCCACATGTGGATTAACTCTTTAGAGTCTGACTCGTCTCAGCCCAGCCTCAGCTGAGTAATATCTCCATAAGAACAGTGTGAGATCTCATCGTTCTCTTATACAGCTCTGTTCTAGATCACAGAACCCTCTCAGCAGTCTGTCAGTGCAGAAGGAGAACTCAGGCTTTTCTGCTTCATCACCAGAACGTCTCACAGTGAGACGCTGATGTTAATCTCCTCTTTTCTCCTGAGGAGGTTCAGGAGAAACAGCTCAGAAATCAGAGATCCTTCATTAATATAATACTGAGATCTGCTTTATTTCTCTGAGACAATTTTAAGAAAAAAATTCTTTCCTCTGGGTCTATATGATATAATAACTGATTACATGGCTTTTCTTGAGTTGACTTAACTTGAGGACACCAGAGTTCACACAACTCAAGCTTCTTAGTTGAGTCAAAAGTTCTCTCATAGGTATATGCTTTTTATACTCAGCTTCCCCACCAGCCGGGACTCTCTCCATCACACAATCCTGCTGGACATTTTTCCTCTTGGATATGCACTTACGGATGGCTGTGGCATCGCTGGGGCTCAAAATCACAACCTCCTGTTGGGGTGACAGTTTAGTCCACTGCACCACTCAGGAACACACGAAGCAGCTCAGATTTTGTGTCTACAAATGTTTAATATACTGGAGAAAATGTTTATTGTTTTAACTTTAAAGCACAGCATCGTCTCATGTGGTGCAACTGTCTGATAATTCATTCCAACATCAGGAGGTTGTGAGTTTGAATCCCAGCAATACCACAGCTGTCCATGTCCATAAGCCCAAGAGGAAAATATGCCAGATGGGACTGTGTGATAGATGGAGCGCCAGCTAGTGGAGAAACTGAGTAAGAAAATGCAAATTCCGAGATTCCGAGAACTTTTAACCAAACTAAGAAGTTTAAGTTGTCTAAGAAGTTTAACTCCGGTGTCCTCAAGTTGAGTCGACTGAAGAAAAGCCATGGAATCAATTGCTGTATCATTTTAAGCTGAGCAGATTTCTCATTTTTTAGAGTGTGACTCCACATTTGTCCATTTCAGAATGCCCACTTTTTACAATCCAGTCACATCTTAAGCTTAAAATCATGTCCCGCCCATTATTTACCACCCCAGTATCCTGTTTCACTCAGAAATACATCATGTTAAGGAAGAAAAATATGTTCTGATTTACAATTCACACTAACGTTTTACATTTATTCATATAATGAGTATTTTCAGCAAGTTATGTGTGGTTCAGAAAATCCCAGTGTGCCATTGTACAGTGAAAATGATATAATTTTTGCTAAACAACGTAACATTCAAAATCTGCCGGTGCAAAGTGCTCACCACAAATTTATATTTCCTGGCTTGTGTTCTTGAAAAGGTAATTAACATCATTGAATTTGATTTTAAAATTTGCTCATCAACCCTGCACAATGTGAGCATACAGAACACAATAACAGATCTGACGCAGTGTGTCTTCAAGATGCCTCCTTTTGTTTAATGTCAGATTGCTGGTGACTCCGTGTCCAAGATAAGCACCCTGCATCCTCAGGGATCTATCATTCTCCCAGCCAATCTCACCACACATCAGCAGCAGCTGGCGTCCAGAGTCCAGTTTAATTTCTACCAGAAGAGCACTCTCTTCCAGGTGTGTAGTACTGCTCCTCTTATATTTTTATTATCCTTATCTATTTGAATGTCACGTGGCACTAGATGTACAGATGGATGACAAATTTAAGGGAAAAAATAAATTTCTTGGCCATAATTCACAGCAGTTATTTTGCTGGTCAGGAATGGTAGCACCTGCAATGACATGGATGGAGTGGTGCAACAGGGCTTGCAGAGCAGGTACTATTTGGGTGGTGGATCATTCTCAGCACTGCAGTAACACTGACGTGGTGGTGGTGTGTTAGTGTGTGGTGTGCTGGTCTGAGTGGATCAGACACAGCAGTGCTGCTGGAGTTTCTAAACACCTCAGTGTCACTGCTGGACTGAGAATAGTCCACCAACCAAAAATATCCAGCCAACAGCGTCCTGTGGGCAGCGTCCTGTGACCACTGATGAAGGACTAGAGGATGACCAACACAAGCTGTGCAGCAGCAGATGAGCTATCGTCTCTGACTTTACATCTACAAGGTGGACCGACAAGGTAGGAGTGTCTAATAGAGTGGACAGTGAGTGGACACAGTGTTGAAAAACTCCAGCAGCACTGCTGTGTCTGATCCACTCGTACCAGCACAACACACACTAACACGCCAACACCACGTCAGTGTTCCTGCAGTGCTGAGAATGATCCACCACCCAAATAGTACCTGCTCTGTGAGGGTCCATGGGGGTCCTGACCACTGAAGAACAGGGTAAAAGGGGGCTAACAAAGTATCAGAGAAACAGATGGACTACAGTCTGTAACTGTAGAACTACAAAGTGCACCTATATAGTAAGTGGAGCTGATAAAATGGACAATGAGCGTAGAAACAAGGAGGTGGTCAGAATGTTATGCCTGATCGGTGTAAAATATACATAATATGTACTTCATGTTTATACACTTATGTACATAGTTCATCTAATACCTTGTTTATTTGTATAAATTTGAGATGCATGCCTTACTGCTTGGCTGTCTGTAGGACAGAGCACTGAAATCTGACAAAGACCGGCTGATCAGCGGAGTTCTGGGCTGCAGTGTGGCTAGCCTGTCTATCTCCAATCTGCAAGAGAATGTGACGATTATGCTGAGGAACAATGAGCCAGTTTCGGTCAGTAAAAGAATGCTGGCAGGCAAAAAAACAGTCTGAGTCTTATAGTGCTTGTATTCTCTGAGTTTTGGTTTCACAGTAAACAATCTTCAATTCTAGTTACCAGTACCTGTAAAGTGAATCCTGTATATTACTGATGTTTCACTGCTGTTCTCTTGACAGGCTAGTTCTTCAGTGTCCTGTGTATTTTGGAAATCCAGCTTAAACAGTAAGGGCAACGCATCATTTCTTAATAGACCATTTTCACACTTCCGTGTTCATTAATGCGGAAGAGTAAATAGCAGCGTTAAACGGCTTCCGGTCACACTGTAAACAATGGCTCATACTGCCTGAAATCATTGGTGTGTTCTTAGTGCACCAATAATTCAACTAAACAGCCTCACCTGAGTTTCCACCTGATCAAGTTTAAACATGTTCAACTTCAGCTGAAAAACTCCGTTCATCATGTGTCACATTTAATGAGGCAACCAATCAAAAAAGAGAGTAAAACTGAGCTGTAGAGTAAATACAGGCTGTACAGGACAGATTTACTCACAATTAAATGATTAAAAAAGACAATCATTCATTCACTGGTGTGTTTACAATCCTGGAGATGGTCATCACAGAGGTTTGATTAAAACCCTGAGAAACTGACTCGTCTCCACTGCAGCTCGGTGATCAGTAACTGTACTGTAGAAATACGATGCTGTGTCTCTGAGCTGGTCATGATGTTCCTGGCACTCGATAATGTTGCTAATGTTCACATGGAAGGAGTAGGAAAAACTAAACCTGGTGGACTTTTTCTCCAAAATAAAGCGCAGTGAGAGCTGGTCTGTTTAGGGATGTGTGATGTGGTGTTGAAAATAATATTCTGCTCCGCTCCTTCTCCGCTTTGCAAAACCTGTCTTAGGCAAATTCCTCACGGTTCCGGCGTGGATTTTTGTGGAATACATTCCGGCGTCTAAATGCACCTGCTTTGATGCGGAGATGTGCTTTCAGATGTGGGATGCGTGGCTCCGTTGTCTGCTGCAGTGTACCATGTTTACCGGGCTGCCCCTGAGCGCCGCACAGTGGTAAACGGAGTCCACAGCGGCAGACGTGCAGATAAATGAAGTTAAAATGTTTTTAAGTTTTGGGTGACGCGCTTTAGCCACATCAGACTAGCCTTTCTGCTCATGTTAGAGGAACTACCAGACATGCAAAACGCTCTTCTATTAACCGAGCTGAGGCCAAAGGGACCCTCCATTGCTTCTCTGTTAAACGGTGCAGGTGGAAGTTCGATAACGCTACAGAGAGCTTGTAGAAAGGAGAATTTCCACTCTGCAGTGTCTTCTGGGTTTTTCAAATGCTAGAGGGCGCTCACGAGCGAGTCCAAAATGAATGGGCTGATATGGAGCATTTGAGCAAAGTCATAGTTTATAAATGCTGAAACATTTTTAATGTAAAAGAATGAAATCATTTCCTGAACACAGAACAGCATAACACATTTTAACACTGCTGTAATATTTAAGAGCTTTTAAACTCGAGTTATAGGAGTTTAAAACGGAGCCTCATGTACGTTCATGATGTCTGTGGGCGCCAACAGCCAATGAGCTGCTCCGCTCGCCAACCAATCAGCACTCACTAATAATAATGCCCGCCTTCTGCTGCCCAAAACCCGTTTACTGTAGAAAAAGGAAACATACAGGTCAGTTTTTAGTGAAATCCATCCTCCTACTTTCTAAAATTAAAGAATGTTCTGGGCGAGGGATTAGAAACTATTTTAACTTTTCGTTTTTAGCCGTTGAGCCATTCACTCCCATTCATTGAGGACTCCCTCACAGGCGCCCTCTGCTGTTTAGCAGTCCTGTTTTTGATATGATGGGGGAAATAGCAAGTGACCAGGCTCCTCATAAACCGGCTCTGGCTACTATTTACAGCCGGATGTGACGATGCAGTGACTGTGAAAAAGGTCCATAAACTTAATTCTATTAATGCGCTACACTTTCTTCAAAATAACAGTTAACTATTAATGAGGAGAACAGTGCATGTACTGTATAACGGGCACCAGTCAACACATTTATTTTGCTTTGTGTGCTTTTTCATACTTCCAGTTTTTTCTTTCTTAATACCATAAGTTAAGCTTAAGCTTGACCAAAGCGGTGTGAACATCTACCAGCGCTCTGGCGCTAAAATGATCTCATTTTAGTCAGCTGCAATGAAATTTTAGTCTCTAATACTGTGTTTATTTAATTTTCAGAATTTTAATACTAATGTTTTGTCCATTTGAACATCTACATTTGGGAGATTTCAACATTACTGTTAGTCTTCGTCTTTTGCCTCCTGTGCTGTTCATCTGTTGATTCATTTCTTAAAGTTTTTAATGGATTAGCTGCCTGATTCGATGATTGGCAGGTGGCTCTGGTGGCTGGAGCTCTGAAGGCTGCATTGTGCTAAATAGGACTGTGAATGAGACGGTGTGCCACTGTAACCATCTCACCAGCTTCGGCGTGCTGCTGGTAAGGAACTTCCTTCAGATCTCATAGCACAGGAAAGAGCGTTGCCTAAAGCCGGGGGTCTCTAGTCTTATCCTGAAAGGGGCGGTTGTGGCTGCAGGTTTTCATTCCAAATAAATAGGAAAACAGCTGATTCCAGTTGTTTAATGCGCTGGGCTCGGTCTTCGTCAACAATTGATCACGTGCTGCTTTGTTGGAGTGAAAACCTACAACCACACCGGCCGTTTGTGGAGAAGATTGGACTCCCCTGACCTAAAGATGACAGTTTAAAGTGTGAGTTGGTAACATTTGGTGAAATTCTGTCATATTCAAATTCTGTCCTTTTCCATATTGGAAAAAGGAAATAAAACATAAAGTGTGGCCTGTGTGGTTCTGGCACATTTTATATGCTATGTTTTATTTGTTCAAACATTAAACTATTTTCCTACATATTAAAATACAAGTGAGAAGTAATAGGTAATTAGCTGTGTTTAAATTTGGTTGATGAGTTATAGTATCGCTAAAATTATGGTATGTAAAAGCACAATTTTCATAATGAATTAACAAATTGACACACAAATGATGATGGAGGTGTCTTGATACTGCGTTTGAGCATTGTACATTGCTGTGAATCTTTCATGTATCAGTTTTGACCTGAGAGGAAAGCTTGTTCACCATTGAGTGTTAAGTACCCTGAGATTTTGCCCTGCAAGCATGTTTACATCTTAAGAAAAGCCCTCAAGTCGAAGAGTTCCCATTCCAGCGTGAACTTGGGAATCATAATTTGGAGGTAGTGTAGGTCTCACCCATTTGAAGCCTTGAAAACAGGAATAAGATATTGTATTTGATCATTGCTGCCACAAGTAGGTTTAGCAGTGATTTGGATTATTCATACATTATGTAAACTGTAGGCATTCATTTGGTCAGTAATAATGCATGTATTTATTTTGACTGTGAAGACTACAGTAGTGACATTTTTCCCTCCCACAGGGACACAGCGCTCCGTCCATCATCCTCACCTACATCACCAATATTGGCTGTGGCATCTCCGCCATTTTCCTCTCCTTCACCCTGATTACCTACTTGGCCTTTGAGTGAGTTACGCACCAGTCAGCTGAGCCACAGCAGACAGTTTTTGGTTCAGTCTTAATTCGCTGACTCTATTATTGTTGTGAGAAGAGGCTGGTGAACTGACATGAAGGGCAGATCAGACCCACAATCAGACTGGTTTGAACGTGTGACTCTAATCATCTCCTCTTCAAGAGGTCCTTTCCATAAAGTTTCACTTACTCTAATGCAAATCAGAGACTTTAACCATTTCACCTAATTTTTACTGCAAAATGTTGAGAGTGTTATTTTGTTTGTTGTTATTTCTTATATATGACTAGGATTTAAATTAATATCAGAATTTTAGGATCAATTCGTGCAGAAATTCTGATGATTCCAAAGCGTTCACAAACTTTCTGTTTACAAATGGGTCATTCTACAGAAACGTCCATTTTTGTGTCCCTAGCATTTACAGATATTTTACACTTAAAAACATGTTAAGGTTACAATTTATTTATATTTTAAAATAAAACAATAAGTTATTTTAACAATCACACCTTCTTGAGCCTCAATTTAGCAATATTGGTTTATAAATCAATCATATAGAATTCCAAGCACCACAGAAGAGCTCGACCCCACAGTCATGTGTGAAGGCTGAGGCATGTTTTTCTGCAATTTTAACTGCAATAATCTATACATGACTATGGAATATATGATTTAAATGATATAAAGAAAACAAATGCCAAATAAATATTATAAAATATATAATAAAAGTTGTCCCCAGGAGTCGTGTCACTGGTGTTACTGTGTAACAGAAAATCTCTTATTTTGAAATAAAAGTCACACTGATGACATCACTCAACTTCCTTTTACCTGTTTTCTGAGGATCTATGAAGAAAAGCACATGGTGAGTCCACTGTGTCTTTCAGTTATCAGAGATTTTCTCATTCAGCTCATGATTTCATATGAAGCTTTTAGCTGAAGTCACTGGTGTGACCGACTTTATTCTGAGGTAATTGTGAAAAAATAGAATACAAATGGATTAAATTTCATATTTTAGTGGATATTCCATGATTGACAACATGTGGTTTGATGCTCTATAGCAGTTATTTTGTAAAATGCATTTTTCATTAAAAATGTCTCTGGGGTTCCTTTATTATGTGGAACACCAATGAGGATCAGTAACACCAGTGACTCCTATGGAGAGATAGAACAGTGGACGTTTCTGTAGAATGACCCAAATATATTTTTTCATAGTAGTACAAACACAAAAAGTATGAAATGATCACACTTTTAGACACATACATGGAATTATGTGAAAGTGAAATAAAAAGTGAAATAAATTTAATGCAAAATGTAATGTTTCTGTTAGAGTCAAGTGTCCTGGAGTGTCCTGCTTTGTTTATGTTACATTTTTCTGTAGAATGTTTGTACTACCATATCAAAGATCCCCAAAACTTTCCAAATATCAGACAGCAGTACACAGAACAGGTGCTCAGCACACATACCCACACTCACACATACAGACACACGATGCATACATACACAAATATGGTCCATAATAGGGGTGGGGAAAAGTCGATTCTTAGATGCATCGCGATGCGGACGTGGACGATTCTGAATGTGAAAAATCGATTTTTTTAAATATTTAATTTATAACGTAATGTTGACGGAACGTAAAAGGCGGAGCTTGGAAGTGGGTAAGTGCAGCGCCCGGACAGTCTGCGGTGGGACGTAACAAAAACACTACTGGATGAGTGAGAAATCCGACCGGCTCCCTCTGCATTAAAGCCAGGTTAGGGCAGGGGTCACAACACAAATGATAAGAAGAGCCAATTTGTCCTTTCAACAAAAATCAAACCACCTTGGAGCCACAACATTCAATGTCCAGTATGTCTCAGTGTGTGCTGATGTCCTAGTATTGACTAAACAATATAAACGAAAACGCAGACTTACTCTGCTCTGCTTTAAGCTTTAGCTATAGCCGCTTTCCTCCCATCTCCGCCAGGAAACTTTTCCTCAAAAGTAGATCAGTTTCTTGTAAAATGTCTCTCAACGTCCGTCTGTTTTACGAGGCTGAAGTCGCTTCTCATTCACCAGCTTCTTGTGCGAATTTTCCCGTTCCACCTTAAATTCTGCCTGAGGTGCCAGAACGTAAACGTGGCACCAATTAAGGTGGAACGGGAAAATTTGAAAGAGAAGCCGACATCTTCACAACTTTTTAGTGTTTGACAGTCTCTCATTGCAGATTTAACGTATCAGGAAACTGACTGCGCTGCTTATAAATGAGAATAAGTCTGTTCGTCTCCAAATGTTCAAGCAAGCGATGTCAAAGCCACCCAAATTGGAAGTGAATTACAAACTCTGTCGCAACTTTTATTGCCAAGGATTAGGGTCTGTTCTGTGTCGTTGAGAACCAGGGCTTTCGCTCTATGCTGCTGAGATACAGTGTCCTGTGTCGAACATATTTTACTGACACAGTGACCCCCCCTACTCTCTACAACGAGACCAAACCTGAAAAATCACTGAATTAAACGGGTAGGATAGCTGTAACGCGCTGCGTGGACATCCGCTGCCACAGAATCTAATTTCACCGTAACAGCGCGTTTTATCACAGATGAGTGGCAGCAGCGTCTCATGTGCTCCAAACAAGAGCAGTGAATGAGAAGCTTCTAGTTCACTTGCCTCATCACTTTCATTTGTTTTATTAATACAAGATATTGGAAGTAAATTCATTATAGACTATTACAAATACTTTGCTTTAACGGTACAAAGTTGTCACACAGTGAGAAAACAGAAATCCTGTATAGAAGAAAAGATGCATCGATGATCGTTTTATAATCGCATCTCAGCCTCTCAATCGTAATCGAATCGAATCGTGAGGTGCCTAGAGATTCCCACCCCTAGTCCATAAATACATTTATTGTATACAGTGCCTATGACGGTATGTAACTAATATGAAACGTATTAAAGCAACAGTTAACTTTGGAATGAACTACATTTGTGAAATGCAGAACAAATCTAAATTCAGCTTGTCTGATTATGTACTCATACTATTATGCTGCTGCTTTTCAGAACCAGTGTGCACTGTAAGAGGCAGAAATAGCTAGTAAACAGTATTAATAAATAATTATTAGCATTTGATTCATCATCATTTATGACTACTTTCGGAATAAGAATAGAGCATCATGGCTTCCTGAAACATAGCGCAGTGAGACACTGTTGGCACAACAAGCACTCGACTTTAGTCTGCACTACCATAGAGAAACTTTAAAACTCCAGCAAAGTAAGAAAATCTTACTTAAATATCATTATGCTTATGGTAGATATTTGATGGAAAAAGGTGCCACTTAAAAGTGAATTAAAAACAGTTTTTTGATTAAACATTGCTGTATGGATGGCTGGCATGTTCCTGATTTTATGACTTATTTTTACAGACAGTAAGTGTTTTGCCTGCAAGTTAATAGTCCCTGAAGGGTCCCAGAATGGTTTAAACGTCATTCTTTTTTGCATTTTTGCAGGACAGCGTCATCTGGAGCCCTTACAGCCATATAAATCCATAATACTACAAATTTACTTAACACTTATTACTTTTGATTTGTTTCTGATTCACAAAAATTGGACATTCAGCAGTGGAACTGTATAAAATGGTGCTTATTTCTCCTCTTTTAGGAAACTGCGTGTTGATATTCCAGCCAAGATCCTGATCCAGTTCTGTTTGGCTTTGCTGCTGCTGAATCTAGTGTTCCTTTTGGACTCTGGTCTGGCTCAGAAGCTTGACACTGCGGGTCTCTGCATCACCACAGCTTTCTTCCTGCACTACTTCACATTGGCCTCTTTCACTTGGATGGCTCTGCAGGCAGCCTACATGTACTTGACCATCGTCAAAGTGTTCAACGCTTATTTTTCTCACTTCATGATCAAGTTAGGATTTGCTGGCTGGGGTAGGTTCATTTCCCTGCACTTTGCTATAGCTTCATTTGTGTTTGTGTTGGAGGATGTGAAATAATCTCAAGTGCTCTTATTCTTTTTTTAAGGCATTCCTCTGATTGTGGTCATCACTGTCTTAGCCATTAATAAGGACTTCTATGGACTTCAGTCCTATGGAAAGTTGGAAGATGGATCCACAGATTACTTGCAAGTAGCATTTGATAAATCTCATTATACTCCTTTGTTTTACACTGAGTTCGGTAGTTCACCTTCTGTAAACATGAGATTCTTGTGTTCAGTGTAAATCTGTTTGGTTCTTGTCATGTGGCTGCTCTAACCCTGTCATGTGGCTGCTCTAACCCTGTCATGTGGCTGCTCTAACCCTGTCATGTGGCTGTAGCTTTATTACATGGTGAAACTTTCACTCACTTACTTTGTGTGTGAGCAGCATGTGGCATAATTCCTGTGCAACTTTTCAGTTACATGAAGCAATTAAAAAAACAAAGTCACAGACAACATGTCATGCTATTCTACTAGTTAGCCAAATGATTAGTTTTAGCTCTATTAACAATGAGCAGACGGTTCGCTGCACTTTCATTTTTGAGTGAACTGTTTTCTTTGAGGTCACAGACTTTTACTACATTAATAATGTCAAGGAATTTGAGAGAGAAGGCTGGTTCTAATTTTGCTAATCCTACTGCTACGCTAACTTCCCTGATGCTACTACATCGGTGCCAACCGCTAACTCAGCCCAGCTTGAGGGCGCTTCCTCTGAGCCCTTGCCTCATGATTACCCACCGCGTCTGATCACTTAAGTTCTGCGGAACATAGCTTATTCCATGTTCACCCTTTGGGGATGGGGTGACACCCCTCCGATATGGTTTACAGCTTTTAGCGAATAATTTGACCATAAAATGGAGAAAACTTAGTCCTGAATGAATCACTTCAAACGATTCACAAATGACTTTACGCCCTGGAGCGGACATTCGACTTGCACAGGAATAACATTGCCGAAATTGGAGTCTACAGTAGTCACACATGACACCCGGTTGGAACAGCTCAAAACAGAGTGCTGCTCATTTAACCACATGATCGCCTCCCTACTAGAGAAATTAGATGACCTGGAAAATGGCTCCAGAAGGTGTAACCTTTGAATCATGTGGATCCCTTAGAGACTGGAGTCAAAGAATCCGATCAGATATATGACGGAGCTCCTCAAGGAAACCGTTCAGTCTCAGTCTATTCTAAAGCCAGCCAATCATTGAGAGAGCCCGCCGGCTGGGCCGATCACCCGCTATGGGGGAGGTACTGGAGGGACCCAAGGCTATGATTGTCCTTCTTCATAGCTTTCGTGATAAGCAGCGTCCCATGAGAAGACGAACTTTTCTATAAGGGTCTCAGACTTAGAATCTTCCCTGATTACAGCATGGAGCTCTCCTGCAGACTGGTTGCATTCCAACCAGTCAAGGTGACCTTGTTTCAGAGAGCAGTTTCCCAGTTTTCCACTCCTTTACCTGCCAGACTCCAAGTAATGGTGAACGGAGTGGCCAAGATCTTTGAATCTCCAGACTCAACTCGAAAATCGAGAAAGACTTGGGACTTCACTTTGACCTCAACACCAGTGACTCAGACTCTGGCTTGGACTTGAGCGTCTTGACTCAGAAAGACTCGAGACTCAAAGTAGAAGAAACATGGAGAGGCGTCTCTACACAGTCGAATATTTTTCATGTGAATGAATTCGTTTCCTGCTGTAAACTGAATAAAAATGCTCAGCTTATTTTATTTCGGAAGACAAGAGAAGCATTAGAGCTCAAGTTCGCCTCCATAAGCTATAATCTTACATGAGGGGGGATTTCCAGAGGTGGAGTAGTCTCCCCCTCCCCCTTCCTGTTTCTGTTTTAATGCCTTCCCGTGTTCTTACCCAAATCCTAAGGCAAAGCTTTCATAAAGTTAATCTGGATTGGTAAAGTCCCTCAGTTTGGTAAGTCAACTCTTCAGGGGCCCGACAACGAAGGGCCTTAGCCCTCCCTAATTTTTATTCTGCTATTTTTTAGCCAACCTTCATTAGATTGAATTTTGGATTTATTTACCAGGCACTAATTGGTGTGTACTGGAATCATTATCATGCTATCCTGCATCTTTGAGTGCCTCAATATTCTCTTCCCTCCCACTGATTCCCTCTCGACACTCTTCTTACCCTCTAGTTATAACTCCGCTCAAGGTCTGGGTGCAATTCTGTCGACTATTCCAGTTTCGGGCGGCCTTGACTCTAAGCCCAATATGTAACACTCACCTTTAGCACATGGAACAGATTGGGAATCAGTACTTTTAGGGATCCATATAATGATGACACCTTTTGTAGTTGTACAGCACTCTGCTGATTTAATCTCTCATGCACCAACATTTTGTTATTTTCAGGTTCGCCATTGTGCCCGTTTTGTTCTGTTTTCAGGGCAACCCCCTGATTTGGCTTGGGAAAAGAAATTATGGTGCCTTTTAATTCGAGAGGGGTGATCACACTTATTGTAACATTACCACGTCTTTCACTGATCGGCCCTTGATAATCAAACCCAAGGGGAACCTGGAGCTCATCTACTATGAGGACTGGTGGCAGTGGCGATTAGGCAGTAAGCAAACAGTCTGTTCTCATGGTCAACATGTGGGATGCAGAAGAAATGACCTGGTATGAAGGCCTGTGGACAGGGCCACATCATTATGGTCAGATGACTGACTTGGAGCATCTCCAAAACAGCAAGGCTTTTGTGGTGCTGCCGTTCACCTTTGTTGAGGACCTGCAGACAGTTGTCTGAGGAGGGACAAAGTACAAACCGGTGACAAGGTGTTGGGCGGCCAAGGGACAATGATGTGTGAGGGCAATGAAGGCTATCATCTGGTCTGAACTGACAGAAGGGCTACAGTGACACAAAACTTTTTAATGATGGTTACAGGAGGAATGTGTCACAACACATTCACATTCGCATCACACCCTGCTGTGTGTGGGGCTACAGACCAATCAGAGTGCCTTTTAGTGGCTTCTTATAGTAATTAGAATTATATATAAATATAAAATACAAAGATAATAAAAATGCAACGTATGTGCAGATATACACCGATCAGGCATAACATTCTGACCACCTCCTTGTTTCTACGCTCATTGTCCATTTTATCAGCTCCACTTACTATATAGGTGCACTTTGTAGTTCTACAATTACAGACTGTAGTCTGGTGGTGGTGTGTTAGTGTGTGTTGTGCTGGTGTGAGTGGATCAGACACAGCAGTGCTGCTGGAGTTTTTAAACACTTATTGTCCACTCTAATAGACGCACCTGCATTGTTGGTCCACGTTGTAGATGTAAAGTCAGAGACGATAGCTCATCTCTTGCTGTACAGTATGAGCTAATCATCCTCTAGTCCTTCATCAGTGGTCACAGGACGCTGCCCACAGGACGCTGTTTGCTGGATATTTTTGGTTGGTGGACTATTCTCAGTCCAGCAGTGACACTGAGGTGTTTAATTCCAGCAGCGCTGCTATGTCTGATCCACTCACACCAGCGTAACACACACTAACACACCACCACCACGTCAGTGTTACTGCAGTGCTGAGAATGATCCCACCACCCAAATAGTACCTGCTCTGTGAGGGTCCATGGGGGTCCTGACCACTGAAGAACAGGATAAAAGGGGGCTAACAAAGTATGCAGAGAAACAGATGGACTACAGTCTGTAACTGTAGAACTACAAAGTGCACCTATATAGTAAGTGGAGCTGATAAAATGGACAATGAGCGTAGAAACAAGGAGGTGGTCAGAATGTTATGCCTGATTTTTATTACTCGTTTTGCCAGATTTTGCTTTTTGCTTTTTGTGTATTTGCTGATTTTGCTGATACATTTTTTGCTTCCTGAATCGCTCTTCTGCTTCGGAAATGTTTCTTTTACTTCTGACTTTTAGCACCTTGTAACAGGGGGTGGGTCTAAGAAGAGTTCAAATCAGTTAACCAATAAAAAGTGAAGGTGAATGCTCTCTTCTAAGACCTGCCCCCTGTTAAAAAGTAAAAGAACGATTCCAGAAGCAAAAAAGGTATTAGCAAAATCAGCAAACAGAAAGAAATAAAAGCAAAAAATGCCAAAATGAGTAATGAAGTTTAACTCTCATTATTTGTATTTGCAACACATTTTGGACATTTTGTACTAAACATTTCGCTTTTAGATTTTATCATTTTATTTTAAACTTTTGGCCCAAATTAACTACATATGCATATCTTCTAAGCCTGAGCAGCTCAGCCCTTCCACAGGCCAGTGCCACTCATGCAACTCAGCCAAGTAGTTGCGTGAAAGTTTCACCATGTACATCCAGTCTAGGAGTGAATATCAAAGTAGTTGCATTCGAGTTGCTTCCCACTATACAGCTCAGAAATTTTGTTTTATGTGAGTTTCAAGCCACTAAAATTGCAGGAAACTTTCTTTGTGTGAAGCCACTCTGTGACCTCTTTGTCTTCCCCCTCATAGCTGCTGGTTTAAAATCGATGAAGCCTTCTACGTTGCTGTGATGGCATACTTCTGTGTCACCTACCTGCTGACCTTCAGCATGTTCATAGTGGTGATGGTACTGATGCGCCGCATTAGGAGTCAAAACCCCCAGTATGCACGAAAACGGACCCTCATGCAGGACTTCAGGAGTGTTACTGCACTTCTTGTTTTCCTGGGCATCACCTGGGGCTTTGCTTTCTTCGCCTGGGGCCCTGTTAATCTGGCATTCATGTGCTTGTTTACCGTCTGTAACTCTTTGCAGGGTAAGCAGTTTAAACTACACACAGTGATGTAGTCCAGTCGATATTTAAATTCTGTCTAATTACCTTTACAGCACTAAAGAGCTCTAACAGCGACAAGGATGTTTTGTTTCAACAGCCTATACAATCGTGGCTGCATCTCTATCACAATTATGATGTTACCCATGGAACTGTTTTCATTTTTTGATAATAACTAATGGGGAGAGAAACATTAAAGTTAAAATGTATCATCCAAATGATAGTAAGCTGGCAAGCAAAACATTGATATGAGTGATGTAAGCGTTCATGTGTGTTCAAGCCTTCCGGTGGGAAACAAAGACCATAAGCCGTGGCAGTAAACTGCTTTAAAATACTTAACATTTCATGCCACAGCCATCCATGGCCAGAGGTCCAAGAGAGCACAATTGGCCACATTCTTTGAGTGGGTAGGATGGCCCTCCCTCCAGCACAGTGTTAGCCAATGCAGGTGTCTGTTGGCTGATAGAATTGGCAGTTAGTGTTCTCATCCAATTGTGTTGAGCTGTCCAATGATGTTGTGTTAGCAGCAGTTCAAAAAGATGTGATGGCTGGTTTCACTTGACTCAGAGGAAGCGTGTGCTAGCCTTCACCCTCCTAGAGCTTGTATTATCGTTTGATTGGGGAAGGCCTAGATAGCGGGGGGGTTTGGACATGACTAAAGAGAAGACAAAATTGGGGAAAAATGCAAAAAACAAATAAAAAAAGGATAACATTTCAAATCATATCATTTGATTTGCTGGGCTTTATGTTACAAACTATTCAAATCCTTAAACATGACTGCAGATACAGCTTTATTACTTTAATCAGTTAACTGGCCACTCTAGCATGCTAGAGGCTACACAGGCACTACCACACGGCTCTAGACCGAAGTTGATAGCCAGACAAGCAGTTACTCAAAATGTCATGTCAGTAAATGTACACTATTTTCAAACTTCTCAAAAAAAAGGTTTTACATTGACAAATTTGATGGACATCCAGTTAGCTTGTTGAGGCCACCTGCCAAGGTCACGCGCGTTCCGTTTAAATAATCCGCTCCTCACTGTCTCCTCACATCCTTCTGCCACAAATGGCCACTTGTGTAATGTAAGTGTGATACACATTAAAGTGTTGAGTTGAAGTGGGTGATGTTTGAATTGCATTGCTGGGTCATTCTACAGAAACGTCCATTTTTGTGTCTCTAGCGTTTACAGATATATTACACTAAAAAAAACACGCTGGAGTTACAATTTTTTACAGTTTCAAATAAAACAATAAGTTATTTTAACATTTACACCTTCTTGAGCCCTCAATTTAGCAATATTGGTTTATAAATCAATCATATAGAATTCCAAGCACCGCAGAAGAGCTCGTCCCCACAGTCATGTGTGAAGGCTGAGGCCATATTTTGAAGAGAAAAACACATTTTTCTGCAATTCTAACTACAATAATCTATACATGACTATGGAATAAATGGTTTAAATGACATAAAGAAAACAAAGCCAAATAAATATTATAAAATATATAATGAAAGTTCCCCAGGAGTCGTGTCACTGGTGTTACTGTATAACAGAAAATCTCTTATTTTGAAATAAAAGTCACACTGATGACATCACTTGACTTCCTTTTACCTGTTTTCTGAGGATCTATGAAGAAAAGCTCATGGTGAGTCCACTGTGTCTTTCAGTTATCAGAGATTTTCTCATTTAGCTCATGATTTCATATGAAGCTTTTAGCTGAAGTCAAGTCAGCTTATTGTCAATACTACAATATGTACAGGACATACAGAGTGTTGAAACTGCGTTACTCTCAGACCCCATGGTGTAGCAATAACATTAAATAGACAGTAAACAGGAAATGTGTGAATTAAATATAGACACTAAATAAACACTAAACACTAATCGTAAAAATAAACACTAATTGTAGGAAAATTGAATAATAATAAATAAATATAAATATAAGAAGGTCCCTGAATTTAACAATAAAGTGACATAAGTGACGTTTAGTTGACGTCACTGGTGTGACCGACTTTATTCTGAGGTCATTGTGAAAAAATAGAACACAAATGGATTAAATTACATATTTTAGTGGATATTCCATGATTGACGACATGTGGTTTGATGCTCTGTAGCATCAAAATGCATTGTTCATTAAAAATGTCTCTGGTGTTCCTTTATTATGTGTAACACCAATGAGGATCAGTAACACCAGTGACTCCTATGGAGAGACAGAAAAGTGGACGTTTCTGTAGAATGACCCTGCTGCATTTCTTGGCTGTATTTAGCGGATCTTTCTGATTGGATCCGTCTTAGTTAACGTAGCAGTCTAGAAATGCAGCCTCTCTGGACCTCAGCCTAGTTTTTGGAATGCAGCCAAAAGCAAAAACAGCTTTTTAGTGCCAGAAACAGTACATTTGACATCCTGTAGGCTAATTAGGAAAAGCAGTTGTGACTGGGGTCTGTTTCTGTGCATCGTCTGTTTCATTAAGAAACGTTTCATTAGGAAATAGTGGGTTAAAGTGGGTGGTAAACCAAAACCTTCACTGTTTTCCACAGGATTCTTCATCTTTGTGTTCTACTGTGCTGCAAAGCAGAATGTCAGAAACCAGTGGAGGACGTACCTGTGCTGTGCAGATTGCAGACTACAGGGAATATTAGGTGTGTCATAGAGTGCCTTATGGGCTTTTGTTTTCATTGAGTGAAACTAATAGACAATTTAGACATTGAGTTGTTGTTTACATTGAGTGTGAGGGGTTTGCATGTGAAGTGATACCCTTTGGAGTTTTTGTGACCATTTCAGCTAAATTTACACTGCAGCGTGTGGCCTCTTTACAGAAAGAATGCACAAGGTCTTCAGTAGAGTCCCCTTTATCTCCTCATCAAGATCCAAGATGTCTTTCAGCACCCCAAAGACTCCTCAGTGTGAAACTGAAGGATCAAGACATAGCATATCACTTCACCCCAGTGAGTATTGTCTGTTGTGTTCCTGTCCCTCAAACTGTTCCACTTTAATGTGTCAAAGTCCTGGCGGGCCACAGCACTACAGCGTTTAGCGTTCCTCCTCGTTAGCCACAGCTCATTCAATCATCAGCTAATCGGCTAAATTGAGAGTATCATTTATGTCGATCTGGGTTTTATTTTAAATCACGCTGTGTTGCACCGCTTAATTTTAATTTTATGAATTATCAAGGCTATGATTTAAGCTTTAGGCTGACGTTACATGGTGAAACTTTCATACAACTTGTTGCATGTTGTGAATTGTCTGCAACATGATTTACATACAACTTGACAGAAATTTAAAAATGAAGTTGCTCGCAATGTAGTAAATAACTCCAGTAGAAAGCTAAATTAGCAGCTCGTATTTTTAATGCATTGTACCATTCTCGCTATATAAGGTCATCCACTAGGTGTCATTTATGTAGTGGCAGCATTTTTATCATCTTGTATATTTTTTTTCCAGTTGTCATTGATGTTTTTCTATATATCTGTCTTTCATCTATCTATCTATGGTTCCTTATGATGTGTTTGGGTTTTTGTATCAGTTTAGTGTATATTAATGCTTTGAAAAGTTCTGTTTAAATAGCCATTATGGTTATAGCCTATTCAATGTCTCACTCAGTCTGTCTTACAAGCATAGTAAGTTTTTCGTAGACTGCGTCACGGTCCCCCCTTCTGTGATAATTTCCATCTTTTGTATCGCAATTGAATCCAAGCTCTGTGTAAATTTAGGGGGTATCAAGCGAGGAGAAAATCAATGTAGCTAAATAATGTAAATCAGGAAAACAGCAGGCTAACAAAGAGGAATCAACAAATGCACAAACAGCCATTTAAACAGCTGTTAGAATTAGCTGGCTAGCAAACTCAGCTAGTTACAGAATCACTTCGAGAACCTTATGTTCGCTGCCATGGTTTAGGAAACTGACAAAACGAGAAATTTTTAACCACCTAATAAACCATCTTCTGTTTTATTTTCTTGTGCATTTATCTGGTAAAATCAAACAGTTGAAAGTATATAGTTCAATGTGATCATGTAATGCGTTATCAACCCTTTGTCGGCTGTTTCATGAAACTTGTTACATGAGTTTCAAATGAGTTGCATCCTGCAGGACCCTTTACGTTGTGCAGCTCAACAGTTTAGTTTCATGTAGGTTTCAACTAACCAAAGGTCACTGTGTAAAGCCAGCCTTAAATTGCTATTAAACCCTTGACTTGCTATTAATTTTGATCGTCTGCCATGATTGTACAGCAATATAAACAATGCTACTCTCAGCATAAATCATTATTTATCCACTAACCCAATTCCAAAAAAGGGGCAGTAGGTAAAATGCAAATAAAGACAGAAAACTGATTTGTAAACTGCCTTTTTACAGATATTTAATTGAAAACAGCACAAAGAAGAGATATTTAATGTTTTACCTTATAAACTATATTGATTTTTGAGAAAATCAACTCATTCCAAATTTGCTGCCTGCAACATATTCCAAAATGTAAGACTGGGAAGTTTGTGGAATGATTAAAAACACCTGTTTTGGAACTTTCCGCATGTAAACAGGTGAATAAGGAAACAGGTAATGCTATCGTGATTACATAATAAAAAGGGCATTCACGAAAGGCTCAGTCGCTACTTTGCGAACAAACTGCATGAGCGAATAGTCCAGCAGTTTACGAACAACATTCTCAATGCACGATTGCAAAGAATTTAAGGATGTCATCATCTACCGTCCATAACATTATTAAATGATTCACAGAATCCGGAAAAATCTCTGTGCAAAGGGGCAATGCTGAAGACCAATTTAAAATGCCCTTGACTTTGGATCTCTTGGCAATGAACCAAAAACTAGCAAGAGAGACATTCAGTGAAGTTACTGTGCAAAATCTTTGTGTATGTGATGATTTTTAACCACACAGTGACAAGGATGGCCCCCAGCAGGATATTCTAAAATCTACAGCTGTAGCAAGTACATTCCAAACTGCTGCTTGAGCAGCGTTTGTGATCCAGAACTGATCGTCCAACATCAGTACCTGACATCACTGATGCCCATCTAGTGTAAAGTCTTCCCGAAAGAATAGAAGCTGTTACTGCAGCAAAAAGGGGACAAATTCCCTATTAATACCCTTCATATGAGAAGAAATGTCGGATGAGCAAGCTTCTAGAAACTTTTGGGCAAATAGTGTAAAAATATGATGTCCTGCTTGGATCCATAATCCTTCAGGTTGAATAAGGGGTGGCTGAGCAACACTGTCTCTGATGACGTTATTGTGAACTTTATCGTGTCTTTGTATGACAGTTTACATTCAGATGTTCGTTTACAGATTTTACTATGTATAAGACTTGATGATGCCATTTAGACTCATCCTGTTGTGTGCTGTGTGTTTTTGTAGGAAGTGAAAATGCTGAGAGATTGACCTCTGTGGCGCCCAGCTCAGACATTGTGATGGTTGGTTCTGAGGCCTGAGACACCACGACCTACAGTTAACTCTGAGTTTGCTTATAGTTGGAGTATTTGTGAGAGAAACTTTTGGTCGATCTATATCTGCATACGGTCACATATGAGGGTCTGTAAACACTGATCTTCCTGATTCATCGTTATGAGCACAGGTTTACACCATGGACTAAACAACAGCTCTAGCTCTTATTTGTGTGGTAATACAGTAAAAGGCAGCAGTACTGAAAGAAAGCAGAGTGTGCTCACAAATGCTTCGATGAAGGGCAGTTTCAACAGCCTGTAAAGTTAAACTGCAATGGAAAATGTGTAAAACATTAAATATGTAAAATGCTAGTAGATGAAGTAAATACCTTTACTTACATACATACAAGAAAACAATGATACCAATGGTTGATACTTAAAACCAAGTAAAATCTGTGAAGCAGAACAGGATTGGTTAATGAGATTCCAGTCATTATGTATAATTATAAAAGGCTATTTATATACTCTATTTTTTTTAATTACGGGTCAAATAGAATTATTGTATGACAGACAGACAGGTGACAAATTAAAGGAAAAATCAGCATTAATCGTGAAGTGTTGGGCCGCCAGGAGCCACCGGAAAAGCTTCAGTGCACATTGCCATAGATAAGTCCCTGGAACTGCACTGGAGGGATGGAACACCATCCTTCCAAAAGATATTCCCTCAAGTGGTGAAGAGCAAACACGTTGGTCCGAACTCTCTCAAAGATGTTCCACTGGGTTGGGATCTGGTGTCTGAGAAGGTCATAACATTGGATTTACATCATTTTCATACTCATCAAACCATTCAGTGACCCTCGTGCCCTGTGGAAAGGGGCATTGGCACTTGAAGAGACCACTCCCTTCAGGATAGAAGTGTTTCATACAGTCAGGATAACTTTGTATTGATTTTCAGTGACCCTTCCCTCTAAGGGGACAGGTGGAACCAAACCATGCACCCCACAACTTAATAAAGCCGCCGGACCCCTGCGTTATAGATTTACCCCACACATGCACTTACTGTCTAGCCTTTTGGGAGCCCTAAGCAGGATTTTTGGGGGGGTTCCCATATTGCTAGCTGATTTACTGTAAATTTAGAGGCTAAGTAATAAGATAACTACCACAAGCTGTCTAAATTATACACATTCATAACTGGTTAATTTGTGTATTGCTGATGATTAGGTGCTCGTTTAGAGTTCTAGTTACAGCTTAAAGTATAGATAACCGTCTCAGGGTTCTTGATACGGGGGTCTGTCTCACCATGCAGTACTTCATACTTATCCAGCTAACTTTTGAGTTTATTTTGATCTTACCCTGGTGGCGATGGGGTTGCCTTTTTTTAAAGCACTGTTGCCTCACAACAAGAAGGGCCTGGGTTCGATTCCCCGGACAGGTGACCAGGGTCCTTTCTAGGGGTGCGGGAAAAAATCGATTCTTAGATGCATCGCGATGCAGACGTGGACGATTCTGAATCGATTATTTTCTAAATATTTAATTTATACTGTAATGTTGACGGAACGCAAAGGGCGGAGCTTGGAAGTGTGGAAGTGCAGCGCCCGGACAGTCTGTGGCGACACATAACAAAAACACTACTGGATGAGCGAGAAATCCGACCGGTTCCCTCTGCATTAAAGCCAGGTTAGATCAGGAGTCACAACACAAATGATAAGAAGAGCCATTTTGACCTTTCAACAAAAATCAAACCACCTTGGGAGCCTCAACATTAATGTCCAGTGTGTGTTAATGTCCTAGTTTGTTTGCTAAACAATATAAACGAAAACGCGGATTTACTCTGCTCTGCTTTGAGCTTTAGCTATAGCCGCTTTTCTTCCAACTCCGCCAGAAAACTTTTCCTCAAAAGTTGAATAGTTTCTTGTAAAACGTCTCTCAGCTTTCCGCTGTTTTACGAGGCTGAAGTCGCTTCTCATTCGCCAGCTTCTTGCTGAACTTTCCTCCTACAGTCCAAAGACATGCAGTTGGAGATGCTAAACTGTGCCTAGGTGTGAATGTGTGTGTTAACATATATGTCTGTGTGTCTGCTCTGTGATGGACTGGTGACCTGTCCAGGGTGTTTCCTGCCTTCTGCTCATTGACTGCTGGGTTAGGATCCAACTCCTTAGACTCCGGAGGATAAGCGGCTTAGACAGTGTGTGTTATTTCTTTCTCCATTTTGGCGACTCCTAGTGTTTCATGTGATGGGTTGTACAACATAAACATCACCCTTTCATGTGCACATGAGGATTAATCACAGCCTGAGTGTCTAAACCTGAATAAGCAGAGAAAGTTCTTAACTGCGGTTGTAAAATGAGTTAACTGTGGTTGTTTTTCAGCTTTTGTGAAGCTGAAAGCCTGTGACCCCACGGGCTTCTCTGATGAAGCAAGTTCAGCAGACACTGGGTTCCTGACTAAGTTACAGCTTAACAAAACCGAACAAACGGTTAACTTGTTTTACAAAGACAGTTAACAACGTTCTCTGTTAATCCAGGTTTAGATACTCAGGCTGTGATTAATCCTCGTATGTGTGCACATGAACGCGGGATGTTTGACAAACAGCCAATTACGTGAAACATGAGGAGTCGAGTGGCTGATTTTTTCAAAGAAGGAAAACGAAATAAGTAAGAAAAGAAGAAAGTAAAAATGTATTAAAAGAAAAGTCACCGGAGGGGTCCACCTCTGTCAGTCCTTGATTGGTCAGAAGCTCGTGCTGATTGGTCCAAGAGCTATTTATGATCCAAAATCCAAAATCCAAAACTTAATCTTCCCTGGAGCAGATTAGGCCGTAAGTTGCCATGGTGTTGTAGCCCTGTAAAAAGTGACCCACTGTTGTGACACAGGAAATCCAGGGTAAGATGGATCTGAGCTTAAAGTCAGCAGGCTAAACAGGAAATCCCGCTTCGTTAGACAGACCCCAGATCAACTATTAATTCTTGTCCTACTACAACAAATGGTATCGTGTTAACCAAAAAAACATCTCTTTTTCTTCTCCCGTTTTTCAGCTCCAGATGCGTACGTTCTTGTTTGAGACATGGTTAGCCAGTTGCTTTTTCCCCCTCACTCAAACATCTTGGACAACACAATGGTACAGTAATAACCCAGAAGGTATCTGGGGGCCCCCTGGCGCCTGCAGATGTTGCTTAGGTAGAGCTGGCACTGATCGGAACCTTATTTTTTCCGATCTCTAGAACAGTGTGTTTGGTTTTTGCACCACTGAACTCTCAAATGTGCCTGTCTTTGTAATGAGGGTTTTATGTTCTGCACCTTATATACTATAACACTGTATTATTACTGTAATGTCCATCTATATGTCGGTCCTACGTCCTGCCACCTGGGCCCCAATAATGAATCTTCCTCTTGTCATCTTGATCCAAAATTGAGGTCCACTGGGTCCGCTCAGCGTTTTACCTGCCACAGTGCATAGTAAGATGTTTACTGCTCAATTTAGTCAGTCAGTCTCCTTTAATGTCTCACCCATCTGTATGTTTTATTATTGTAACCTTCATAGTGCAATCAATATACCATGAATGTGTATAAATCAAATAAAACACGTCTTAGAACGGCCATTTACATGTTAAGACTTCATAGATTAGATTTTAAAACTCAAAGTTTAGATTCCATTTAAACGAGCAAACACCACACACCAACACCTCACACAGCCCCCTCCACACACAAACACCACATACCAACACTTCACACAGCCCCCTCCACACACAAACACCACACACCAACACTTCACACAGCCCCTCCACACACAAACACCACACACCAACACTTCACACGGCCCCCTCCACACACAAACACCACACACCAACACCTCACACAGCCCCCTCCACACACAAACACCACACACAACACTTCACACAGCCCCCTCCACACACAAACACCACACACCAACACTTCACACAGCCCCCTCCACACACAAACACCACACACAACACTTCACACAGCCCCCTCCACACACAAACACCACACACCAACACTTCACACAGCCCCCTCCACACACAAACACCACACACCAACACTTCACACAGCCCCCTCCACACACAAACACCACACACAACACTTCACACAGCCCCCTCCACACACAAACACCACACACAACACTTCACACAGCCCCCTCCACACACAAACACCACACACCAACACTTCACACAGCCCCCTCCACACACAAACACCACACACAACACTTCACACAGCCCCCTCCACACACAAACACCACACACCAACACTTCACACAGCCCCCTCCACACACAAACACCACACACAACACTTCACACAGCCCCCTCCACACACAAACACCACACACCAACACTTCACACAGCCCCCTCCACACACAAACACCACACACAACACTTCACACAGCCCCCTCCACACACAAACACCACACACCAACACTTCACACAGCCCCCTCCACACACACACACACCACACACAACACTTCACACAGCCCCCTCCACACACAAACACCACACACCAACACTTCACACAGCCCCCTCCACACACAAACTCCACACACCAACACTTCACACAGCCCCTCCACACACAAACACCACACACCAACACCACACAGCCCCTCCACACACAAACACCACACACCAACACTTCACACAGCCCCTCCACACACAAACACCACACACCAACACCACACAGCCCCTCCACACACAAACACCACACACCAACACTTCTCACAGCCCCCTCCACAAACACCACACACACAACACTTCACACAGCCCCTCCACACACAAACACCACACACAAACACTTCACACAGCCCCCTCCACACACAAACACCACACACCAACACTTCACACAGCCCCCTCCACACACAAACACCACACAGCAACACTTCACACAGCCCCTCCACACACAAACACCACACAGCCCCCTCCACACACAAACACCACACACCAACACTTCACACAGCCCCCTCCACACACCAACACCACACACAACACTTCACACAGCCCCTCCACACACAAACACCACACACAACACTTCACACAGCCCCCTCCACACACAAACACCACACACCAACACTTCACACAGCCCCTCCACACACCAACACCACACAATCCCCTCCACACACAAA